GTTAATACCTGTTGATCTAGATATTCTTTGCATTACGTGACTGTCGACTAGAAAAATTCGAAACTTTTTTTTTAAGATTTTCCTTCGGGCGAAGGATTTTTGAAGTGCCTTCAATCTTTCCTATCAATTTTTTGGCACAACTACTCCGGTTCCTTGGTAATTTTAAATGATCCTCTTGATCCTTTTAATAAAGTTGTAGACGCACGTAAACGTCTCCCGTAAAAAAAAAATTCGAAAATCATTGTTATTGGTTGGTTATCTTAATAAGTTAACTTAATATATGACACGTGTTTTTTATTTATTTCTTAAATCTATATATATTTACAATACTTATTAAACTTTCGTCAAATGCAATTCCGACGAATATGAATATCTAAATACAATGAGTTCGAAAAACGCTCGGTGGATCTAACGAATATCAAAGCGTTCACACGGCAACGCCCGGGAACGTGCGAATAATAAAAGCGAAAGAATGAAAAATGAAGCGACGTCGAGCGCGAGGCGGACGGAGGGGGTCTGCTAAGGCGCCAACCGATCGATATAACCGATTTATCGCGATAAAATGGATTTCCGGACGACGGAGGAGACTACAATTGAATTATCCTGGACTCTGAGGCGCTCCGCGGACACGTCCGCGCCCGGAACACATCGACAGGTGCACGTCAAACCGGTTCGAAGTCGTATAGTCATTGTGGTATGCACAATGTGTAATTGGAACTGTTTTGACAGGAGCAATCTTTCTCTCTCTTTTCCCCTCTTCTCCTTTCTCTCTCTCTTTCTCTCTCTGGCTATGGCTTAGATTGCGTCAGAATAGACTGTTTCCGTTCAGCTAATAACCGCTAATAACCGGGTTTTGACCTCTTCCGAGCATGACGCTCGTAGTGGCTTAAGTGTAATTACTGCAGAAAAATATTAGGACATTTCGCGTGGACATATATACATACGCAGATAGAACGATATTTTTGTTGACGTATCTAAAAGTACAGCTACTACAGATACGGAACTGAAAATAATTATGTAGGACGCTCAAGTATGATGAGCAATGCTGTAAAAAGTTATGACATTCTAGCAACCTGTTTGAATGGCCTACATAAATATCTTGATGATTTAACAAAATTATCTTGAGATCTGCAGCTAAATTTTTTCTAGATACTTAGCAAAACGTTCTTCCTGTATATATATCTATATATATAACATGAAGCGCATGAAAATATGTACTATATGCAAAATATAATAATAATAATTTTATATATATACATACTATATATATAATATGTATAATATATATAAATATATATAAATATACACATAGAATCTTTGCGGAAGACGAGACTGCGGCCGCATCATAATTTAATAATAATTCCACGCCGATTACGTCACATGACGTTTCCACTTGCCGACGACGCGCCCCGCGATGTTTACATTTCGACAGAGCAGGTTCAACTTACGAAACGCGAGAAGCCGCGAATCATTCCCCGCTCGCCACAGTGGGCAGATCCACATGGGCAGATCCACTTCTATCCACCTTGCCTGCTCTCGCACCGTCGACGGTGGGGACACGTATAGTCGACGCGTCGTCGCGATTCAGACGCTGCGCGCGGACGTAATATTACGCGATAAAATCGGCAAGGTCCGGGACTTCTCAGGTCGCGAGCTCTGTTTCTCTGTCTCCTCATTCGAGCAGAAATAATCTCCTCTCGAAAGGAGATTATTTCGCGCAGAGAGACGCGCGAATGATGTAGGTCTGCATGGCGGCTTGTGCCCGCGATTAAGCAATTATCTCGTTGCACGGCGAGAGTGAATCAATTGCGCGCGAATGCGCTTCTGCAATGCGCTTTATCGCGGAAACTTTACGACGCGCGTGTCGCACGTACCGCACATTTGTCACCGATGCATACTTAATGTATACGATTTTACTCGAACTGTTCACCCGCGTGTTCAGCGTATTCGGTGATTTATCGCGCGCCTCGTTCACGCAAGGGAGCGTCAATCGCATCGTGTCATCATGCTGCAGTTTAGCGACAGTCAACGAGACTAATCTCGGGCGTTGCTTGCCAAGGTAACGTCGATCATCTGCTCGGAAACGGTCGGACACGCTGAATACGCTCGCCTTGACTTAATCTGGATTTTTTTAATTCTCGCAGAGGGGCGAGAAAGAGAGAGAGAGAGCTATATATATATATATATAGAGTATTGAACGCGACCACGCTGCGCATTGCGATTTTATTACGAATAATTTCGCAAGGAAACTTACACGAACAAATTGAGTCACTCGTTTTTTTTCCTCCGTACCTATCGACGCACGTTCGTCAATCGATTCGCCCGTGTCGCCTAGCGCGCGAGATAATTATTTCACCGCGACGCAAGCCGTATATTAATTATTTCCGGTTCACGCGCGCAAGGATAGCCACGCCAAGATGCTGCGCATAATAGGTTCTTTTTTTCCTTCTTCATGCGAGAAAAACAGACCGCTCGATCCCCGGAGGTAAAGATTAACGACGAGATGGGCAACGCGCGGTCGCGGCCGCCTCGGCGCTGCCGCGTCCCTCGACGGCGATGACGACGATGACGACGATGTCTCGCCAGGTCGAGTGGTGCACTCTCGTATATCCGCCGTCCACAGGTAGTACAGGCCAGCAACAAGTGGTGCGAGGCATTAATTGCGTATACGAGCGACGAGTCGCTCGAGGAGTCGTGATTGCGCGGAAGTATCAATTTCGAAGGGGGAGGCCCCATACGGAGCATATAGGCTTCATATTCGTGTCGCCGACTCGCGCGACCTTCGCGATGCGCTCGCCGCGCGCGGCGATGACAGAGGATGAAAGAGATTCGATCCGCTCCCCGGAACCATCGGAAACATCTCGCGGGACGAGGCTCCACCGCGGCGAGGAAGCCCTTCGATATATCGCGCGCGCGAGGACGCTGTCGACGCGATCGGGGAAGATGACATGCAGCGGGTCTCCCGGGAGCCAGGACCGATTGATCGGCTCCGCTTTTCTGCGAATCTGCACTTTATCCGCGCGATTACAGTTTCGTAACTTCGTCGATTTTCTCCACTTTCTATTTCACGGATCCCCATCTGCTCGTGACCCTCCGCGAGACAGCAAGGGGGAAAGGGGAAAGGGGAAGGGGGAAAGACGGAACAGGAACATCGAGATGCGCGCTCTCGCGCATCTCGCGAACGGGTGAGAGATTTCCCAGCCTCGTCGCGGGAGCTCTCTCTCACCTCCTCACGCCTTGAGACAAGCCGGACGCGGCCAAAATGTTGCGAATCAACGTCGTCGTCGACGAGTGTACGCTAACGAGTCGCGGGAATTTGGAGTTCTCGTCCGAAGGAAGAGAGGGAGAGAGGCTGGAAGGGGGAAGGGTTGAGAGGAAGGCGCGTCCTTCGCCGTGGGAAAGCTCGGAGCTTGTCTTATCCTTCCCCCCCCCCTCGCCCTTCGGAGCATCCCTCTGTCGGATGCTCCGAGCTCTCGCCAGCCATCTCTCTCTCCCTCTTTCTCTCATCTGCCAGACTTACGTTCGATGTAATGCTCTCCGCTCTCCGGCAGCTGGTCGAGGGCAAGGTCGCACCCGGGATCCGCGCTCCTCTCGTTTCTCCGTCACTCTCTCCCCCTTTCTCTCGTCGAACGCACAGTTAACACCCGAGGGCGGGAGAGAAGAACCGGAGCACCGACAACAACGACAACGATGACGACGACGACGACACGTCGCGCTCGGTCAGGGATCCACGGTCGCGTCTCCGCCGCACTCTGTCATTCGTAACAGCGTCGCACTGGGGAGCACCGTACCGTCGGAGCGATCGCGAGAAAGGAGGCTGCTCACTTGGCGCCGTTTGCCGCGCATCTGCGTGAGTGGCGGGCGCGGGCGGTTCGGTTCGGACGGATCACGGCGCGAGAGCGGGTCGCCGCGCAACGCCACGACGAGTGCGCGCGCGGCTGCTCCGTCGGCGCGGACCAATCGCGAGCTGCCGACGCGTCCGCGCGCGGACGGGGCCCCACGGGCGCGCCATTTGTCGCGGCCCCTTGTGTGCGAGGTTGACCGCGTCGCGAAACTTCGCGCATCGCGACGCCACGCGGGGCGACGTCGCCGAGACCGTCGTCACCGGCTGGCCTCTGCGGAGAGATCGCGATCGTGCGGTGAGTACAAATTTCGCGCGCGCGAGAAACGCGTGTTCAATTCCGTGATTTTACATCGTTGTACACAGTTTTCCTGCCGGAATCCACGGAAGTCGGAAATCGGCGAGCGTCGAAAGGGGAGCCAGGTGCAGCGCCGTCCGGCGCATGCGCGACTCCTCCAGGCGTAGCCCCGAATTACGCGCGGCGCGAAAATTGGACATTTTTGAACGATTGAGTTGTGGCCGCGAGTACACAAGTTGCGAGAAAACGATCATATTGCTCAGGGTATCTTTTTATAATTTTGCGTGAGAATTCGAATTTATATGTATATATAAATGTTAATTAAACTCTTAATGATATTATCATACAATTGTCGTTAGTGATTACCTTTATTTCCTACGATTATTAACAATAAAATGCTCATAGCATTAACAAAAATTGTCATAGCTATTGTTTCTTCTCTACATGTTATTGCGTTTACAATTTTATCGCTATTTTTGTAAAATAAGAAAAACATTTTTTATTGATTTGTTCAATAAGAGAAATTAAAGAATAAGACCCTAACTCGAATTCCTGAAACATGAATATTTAATTTGATTTAAAATGTGAATCTGCAATCTTTATGCAACACGCGATGTTTTGGAAAATTAATCTTTTCGCGATGGCAGCATCGGTCGTCACTGTATTATTCTGACTACCATTCTTACAATTAATATGCAACGAGCGTCACGCAATTATGATTCTTAATGTGTAACAAGTATAATCAGCCTTAGTATGCGTATGCTATAGTCTCTTAGTAGCGCAAGAATTAATGTACATAATATGTTATACTAATAATGTATATTTAACAATATTTAATATTACGTATACACGAATGAAATATACATTATTAATATAACATTAGTATCACATGTGATATATACATATAAATATCATATTTATGATAATAGTATATACCTATCTACATTGTCTAAGAAAACTTACCTGATATACTCTACAGAGTCATAAAAATGAATTATTTTTTAACTGATAATCAGTCTTTACGGTGTCATCAATTGTGCTGTACAATGCCGATATTATCGATACAGTTGGGCCTTTTTTCGTATAAGTATAGAGTCGTTGGTAAAGGCACTTTCTTTTCGATGCGCGTTCTTCAAGTCATATATAAAATCCTCGCTCAAAGGTCTTATTCGGTTTCGCGTGGGACGTCGGTGTTTCACACTGTCCAATATCGGACGCGACGCTTTCTTGAGCAGTTTGTCAGTGATTGCAGTATTACTCACGCTACCGTTCGCGTCCATACGTTCACCCGCGTCGTCACTGGCCTCCAACGTGGACTTATCGGAGTTCGACCGTTCGGTCGCGTTTCCGTCCGAGCCGAATATCACTTCCATTGCCAACTGTTTGAATTCAGGGTTGTCGTCTAATTTTTTACAGTTCATCATATCTTGCAACATATCCTGTATCCTACTCTCGTCGCTCGAACATTCAACACCGCCGTGCGACTTCGCGATCCGCTCGCTCGCGGCAGCGGCTTCGCTTTGAGAAACGTGTGTATTCGAGTCACTGGAATTGTTCGAGTCCGCACGTGTTTCTTGACATACAGCTGACGATACAGTAACCGCAATATCGGGATTATCCAATTTTTCCTTAGGACTTGTCACATCCTCGTTACACGTGTACTCGTCCGGCGGTATTTCGAGCACCATTTCCGCTAGAACCCTGTTATTATTTTGCGTACCGTGCGCTTTGTTGCAATGCGCAACGCACTCACATTTTGCGAAGCACTTAAAATCGCACAGCTCGCAGCGATAGCGATTCCAGCCGACGTGCATCGCTGCGTGCCTACGTAGATTGGATATGGATATGAATTTTCGTTTACACAGAAGGCACCGTAGTTTCTTGAAGTTCGCGATTCTTGCTAATTTACCCTCCATTAGTGAAGTCCTATCGTTTGGCGATGCCGAACACGAAGATCGCAGCTTGGAATTATCCTCCTCTAATTGTACCTCATCCCTCTCTAAAATTTATATAAATAAATTATAGCGTTGTTTGCATTTGCTCCATTTATTTAAATTATTATTAAGCGTAAAAATATATAACTCACTTTTCGAATCAATCAATTGCTTCTCACCGTGGCCTGATGCTTTCCTCTTATTTTTTATCTTCGAAGCGGTCGAACTAACTTTGTTCGTGATATCGGATGATTTTAAATTTTCGTCAGGTAAGGAATTATCTTGGTTTTCAGCAGCAGACAGTGCTTTACCATTATCAGTATTATTAGATAATGTAATATTGGAATTATTTTTATTTACTGAATTCTGTTTAGAGAAATTATTATCTTGACTCTGTAGTATATCCCAATCTGTCTTATTAAGACTAGAAACATTTTCTACACGGATGGCCATTTCGTAATCGCAAATTTCAGAAGATGACGATAAACGTTCGACATCTTTGTCTTCAGATCTGGCTGCTAAATTGACATCTTCTGTTTCACACAGTATATTATTGGTTGGTGAGACTGATAAATTATTACACTGTTTCAATCTAACTGCTGTTTCGTCGCATGCAGCGATTGGCGTTTGACAACATTGCAAATAAGCAGACAAAGGTTTCTTTCTTAATTTCCTTCCGCGTCTACCGCGGAGCTTTGTATTAGATTCTATACTTATCGGTACCTACAACGTAATTATCAGTTTAATATACATTATTCTATAAATATCTAGAGAGAGAAAAAATCGATAAAAAAAGAATATCGGAATTTACCTGAGTTTTATCGCTATTTACATTTTTCAAGACAGATACTTTGGTTGCACGAACATTTTCCACACCTTTCATCGCAATCCTTCTGTGAAACGCTGACTCTTGAATCCGAGATCTTAATTGACGCACTTGTCTATGGGTCATCTTATGAGCTGTTTGGAAAATTGTGGATATATTATTATTCGAAACACTGTTTTTAAGCCTTGTGTCCACAATATAGTAAAAATTCCCACGAGTATCGATCATGTAACTTTTTCTCTAGGGCGGAAACGTGAAAAGTGAAAAATTTCTCCATTAAATTCAATGATAAAAATTTTCACGTTTTCACCCTAGGGAAAAAGTTAAATAATCGATACACAGATTCTCGGACAGAGAATTTGGACTAATCGCATTTAAATTCGGTCATTTGATCAATGCGATTAGTCAATTCTCTCTCCTTTTGAGATCACAGACCGAGATTTCTGCTTCATAGACACAAGGCTTTAGAAATACTATGGCTGGATCAATACTGAAAATTTATAATATATGTAACATAGAGTCACATAGAGTTATAAAGTTTTAATACTGACAGTCTATTATAACACTACTGAAAGAATATTAAAAATTTTAGCATAACAAAAAATGGCACTATTTCTTAATATAATACCTTTAAATAAATGTCGATAGACGCCCCACGTATTTACAAATAAATTCGTGCAGTAAGGACAAGAGAAGCACAAACGTTTGGACGTATGCTGCGTTTTCATGTGAAAAGTTAACGTCTTCTTCGTTGAGAATCTTGCTTTACCTGCGAATCAAAACGAGAATTTTTTTCATATCTATCAAATATTTTGTTACTAATAAACAAGAACGATTCGTACTTACATATAGAGCAGGACAAGTTGTTCGTCGGTAGTCTATATATTAACAGTTCATTCTCCTCGTCGCTCATATTCACTTGAATAGGACTATCACTTTTTTCCACTTGACTTTCCAACATTTGTCCCTCTGGTGCGAGGTGGTCATTCTGATCCATCATAGCATGCAATTCTGTTATCTGAGAAAAGGATGAACTATACGTTATCCTCTAAATATGTGCAAAAATTAATATAAATAAAATATCAATTAAATATATATTATAGCAATAACAAAAGCTTAATCAACGCTATTATGAGTTACTGTAATATAAACTGTACTGTAAATTACTTACTTCTTCTTTCATTAAATCTATATCATTGTCCACCATATCCGATTTGATAGTTTGATACACCGCGGAACGATTTGTATCTATAGCCTCCAAATAGATACGTCGATCATCTGGAGTGTTAGGAACTGCATTTTCATTCTCCAATTGCTTCTCCCTATCTTCCTCTTGCCTTTTACTTAGCATATCTATTATCGTAGTGAGATCCTTTTTATTTGGTTCTTTGGATGCTTGGCTCCTGAGAATTCTATCATTTTTAACGCCATCGTCATTTGTCTGCTGTGTCTTGTACATGTGTATTATTGAGTCTCTGGCACAGTACTGGAAAAAAAAATTATTATCTTAAGTACAGCAAGCAGTAAACAGTGAAAACACACAGATATGCTCTATATATTCCACTTACATTGTAGTCATGAAACTCTCTGTGCGTGACATCAAACTTTTCCTTACAGTACTCTCTCTTGTGAGACACCAAGTTCACGATGCTCCTGTACATGCTGTAGCAGATGCGGCATTCGTATATAATGTTGCATTCGTAGGATAATATAGATTTAACCTCCTCGGTGCCGTCCTCGAGGAGCCTGCTGACTTGTTGCAAGTCCGACACGCTCGTGTCAATCGGCTTACGGAGGCTGGACGGGTCCGGACGACCCGTGCCGTTCGTACCCTTGACGAGGAACTTGCCGATTCTCCCGTTTCTCTTGTTTACAGCCCTGCTCCGCATGGACCTCATCTTCCGAGACTATCCGAGCGACGGCGTTCTCGGAGTGTCTACAACGTACGCATTTAGAGGATTACGGTTTACTTGCAGGGGGCAATAAAGGTCTCTCCGGCACGCAACGTGGGGCAAATTCGCGACCGGGCGAAATCCGAGATTCGAGGAGAAACGACGCGAGTCCGAATCGGGAACAAATCGAAGATGCTGAATGTAGTACAACGCGTATAAATCGTATCTAAGATGATCAACAGGTTGCGAGAATGGCAGGTCTTTCCACGCGTGGAAAAAATTCGGACGATTTCCAGTTAGTCGGAAAAGGAATCACGGGGGACTATGAGGGCAGTGAGACTCGTGCAGCAGTCCACGCCGTGTACTTACGCTGAACCGGGACGCGCGATCTCTCCTACGTTTTACTCGGCGCGATCGACATTCAGCCCGCGGATGCCAGCGATTTTCGCAAGAATGTAGAACGACCTACCAGTACCGCGCGGCCACGCGCAGCTTTGCGCACGAAGAGCCGAGGAATTTCGATTAAATGTTGCCGCGCGCGGCGCGAATTGCAAAAGCCCATCAGCCTCCTACGACTTTCGCGACATTTTCCGCGCAAGCTTCCACACTCACCGCTCAGCGAATCGGTTTTCGGCAGCACCTTATGCACAATTTAGGGATGTGTGTGGGCGAGATATAACTCCGTAGGTATCGATATATCCATCAATGAGAGACCTTGAGTAAATCTTCGTGATCATCAAAGGGAGCTCTTTGAGGGTACGGGAGATAAATAAAGGATATCGATATTATCTAATGTTGATTTAAATTTGTGATTGTTAACATAAATATTTATAAATATGAATATTTAATATAAATTTATATAAAATAGTTGATATAAATTTATTAAATAATATGTATATATTATGAAAATTGTAATTTTTTTATTACATTAAATAATATACTTATATAAATAAGTATATAAAATTCTGTAATATACATACAATTACAATTTTTTTTTACAGCTGTCATCTTTATGGATCAATAATCAAACGGATATAGTAATTATAAAAATGTTAATTTTAAATAAAATTAAATATTGTCAGTTGTAAATATATATATACAATATATGTCTACAAAATTGTCTAATAACCAATCATAAAATTAATATTACATTATGGCCTATAATTGTTTAAATTTAAGTAGCCACGCTACTCCCATATACGATTGTCGAACTTCAATAATTATCTCGACGATCGGTATCCACAGATTTCTATAGTAATTATCTGTGTTTGGTATCTATGCTAATTAATTGTAAGAAGCGATTCGAGAGCGAGCGTGTGGAGTAGTATCTCTATCTTTGTTTACTAATGCCAGCGCGCGTTCAGTATTATTGTATTTTTTAGTGGTGCACATTGCACGCTCGTCGTCATCGTCGCTCGACTTCCTCGTGTCGGCGCATGCAGGAAGCTACACCTACGGAGATCGCGAGATGTCCGTCGCAAGATGCGCCCGTCTGTTTCCCTCGTCAAAGGTATGTACTCGCGTCCGGTCGAACCGACCGGCGACATAACCTCTCAATTGTTGTCAAAACACCGCTCCACCACGTCTGTCTTCTCAGCCAGGATGCTCCCCTATTCTCGAAAAATACGAAAATACTATAGTATACGTTATGTATACAGTATTATGGAGTTTCGTACGCGATATAGCTTCAGGAATATATATAGAAATCCTGGAAGCCGCGTGCCACACGCATGATCCCGCTAACCGAGCACGTGTTTCAGAACGCGGCGTTGTTATTGAGCCAGAGGATAACGCAGCCACATGGAGACCTTGGCACCGTCAGGCTGCTACCGGCGATTTTCACGGCGTACCCGCCGACGCCCCGGGATATCCACACGTCGTCGGAGCTCCGCACGTCCGCGGTGGAAAACTCGGTTGTACGGCCGAAAATGGGATTCATAGAGAGAAGTCTGAGAAAAGCCGGTATTCTGGACATCCACAAATATGTAATTGACAATTTTTCAATATGTAATCGCCGATAAGCCTTGAGCGAGAGCTCTTGTGAAGCTTGTGTCTTTAAATTAATAAATTTATATTAACAATCTGTAAAAGCGCACTCTGTGCTTTTACATCTGAATGTCCAAAGTTTAATTGAATGGTAACGCTGATTTAATTAATTGCAGAGAATGATATTATTGGGCTATATGGTATACGAACGTATAATGAATCAAGTGGATTACCCTTTCTTCTTCAAACGTAAGTTTTCTGTCATAAGATATGATCGGTATGCATCCCCGTTTTATTGATAGCCTTCGAATACATATTTAGAGAACCTGTAGCTTATGTTACACATCTACTATAAAATCTCAAAAATAAAACACATTTATTGATAAGAGTGATGAGACATAAATAGGAACCATAGTTCTAATTCTTTTGGCATATCTCCTTTGTAGATTTTAACATGCCAGATACATTTTTCTCTTGGTTTCTGGTGACGGAGCTTCACGTGTGGATGATAATGGTTCGCTATATGGCAAACGAGAATGATGGAAAAATTGTCAGGAATAATGCGGTAGCAGCAATGTGGCAGGACTCGCAGGCCAGGATACACAAACTTGGTGTAGGTGGCATTTTACTTTTTAATATGTTGTCGTATGTACACACTTATGCTCTTGTCATAATTTTATATTGATTGCTGATTATTGAAGTACAACTATTGCATTATTATTGCAGCCAGTTAAGTCCAAAATTAAAAATGAACACCTACAGGAAATATCGTATCAATTCAATGCTGCTATAATAGATTACGACGAGGGCATACAATCGGACGACAAAGTATTAGCGGGAGCATTGTGGAGACGATTCTTTCAGTCGGAATGCAACAATCCGGAACACGTTGAAACGCTTGTCATTTACATTAGGAAACAGGTAAGCCTTACGTTTTAGACAAAATTAAAAATGATGTAAAACTATATTCCGTATTTTATTCCATGTTGTCGGCGCAAAATAACTTGCGAAAGTTAACGTGCAATTCTTGCAACTGTATTTTATTTTTAAAAAATTTCTTTATTTTCCAGATATGTCTGTTTGACAGTTTATCAAATAATGAAATCTTTTTAAGAGAACCTACTTTAAAATTAATAGACATAAAAAGTTTGTGTAAGAATCAACAATCATGATTACAGTTAGCAGATAAGAGTGATAGATAATGAAATATTGTGTTCTTGTAAATACATAACGTTATTATGCAAGGAATGTAAAAAATATATAGTAATAAATGTAGAATGTTATTTTTTTCGTAAAGTATCTTCTCTAAAATAACATGTTTTTTTTCTTACTTTTTGTTCTTACGCATACTTAATAGAACTCATCAAGTCGAATCGACAACTAGTTAGATGTAAACTCAAGATTGTTATTACATTTAATTTTGAGATCTCCCAGGCTTGCAATTATACGGCACATATAAGTTCTCATGCACTTTGCGTCGCATTCGTTCCTCAGTGATGGTTCAGCTTGTTTAAAATAGTGCCTGAATCAATTATCCTTGGTTGAAATAGAATACTTGACACAGATAATAATTCACAATTATGCTATAATTAGTCTATATACGTTACCTGTAGTAGCGATTTAGCAGCTCCTCGTCGCTCGATAGTTTGGATAGCCAAATGTGTAACGAGTTGTATGTCAGGTCGGAAAGGCCGTATTCCTCTTTAAATGAGTACGACTTGTACCACGTTGGCCGCTGGTCAGGGGTAGCGTTCGCTAGAGTTAAATTATATATCCAATTCTCGAAATCCTCTACCGCCTGTAATAGAGTTTCGCCCGTGTAAATGTACATCGCGTGTATTTCACCGGGATGACTCGACACTCACGTAATTTTGGCTGTCGACAGTGTACACCTTGTAGTTGGAATTTAAATTCTGAAAGGTGGTCGCGCTACCGCCGTTCCACGCGACGCTGTTAATCTTGTCATCGTCACTACTGTAAATCAACTGCACTTCATCGTTGTGCGTATGGCCGTTGAACTGCGCTCTAATAATGTGGGCAAATCGGTTGACAATTTTGATGTATTCCCTCTTCCATGCGGTGTTACAGTCGTCATGATCGGGCGGTATGTGCGCTAGTATGTGCACGTACTCCCCATCTTTTTCAGCTTGCAAAAGCGTGTCCGCCAGCCATTGCAACTGGCCGTCGGGATCTTGTGAGTGATACCACAGCCACCTGTAGAAATTATTTCTATATACGATACCGCGTAAAATAAAATATCTGAAGTATGTTCTTCCTGCATTTCAAATAAGTATGTGATAATCTGAAAATAGAATTTAGAAACGCAATATTGGAGAAAATGAATTATATTCAAAATCACGCGATATGCTGTGATGAAAGATAAATCGCGACACTTGATATTTCAGATTGGCAAACAGATATATTACTGAGGTAAACATACATTGCAGATTAATCAATAAGTCGCGATATCGTTTGTAGATTTTTACGATATCGTAATCTACAAACAAAATTAATTTCTTGTATTTCACAATCAATTAGAAGTGATTTGATACGTGGACTCACCAGTTGTAATTATAACATACGTTATTGTTCAGGGCTATAATTCGAAACCCTTTCTTAGGCGAAACCGTGTAGAATCCACCCTGTAGAATGGTAGAGCGTGTAGATTCAGGTAACCAGCCGTAATTGATCCATAGATCAGACATCATTTTATACAGCCATTGTGTGCTTATCTCATCGTTAGTAATCGTCTTAGGTGCGAATCTAGAAAAATTGCACAACGTTATAGTAGTATCAAAACATGATAGTGAGTAGGTGCTAATTAAGCAAAATAAATTTCTATATAATAAAGACTGGATGGCTCACTGATTTAAAGGATGCGGCTCGTGATTACCCAAAATAGGGTACACTTTGACATTTTCGAATGTTTCGCGAATTTGCAGGTAGCTCTTGCTCAGACTTTGTTTATTTCCCTCAATACTAGTTTCCCAAACACCGTGGTCTACTATGTCGCCAGTGAAATAAACGTAGGAGATATTCTGCAAATTAAAATATTCCATGAAATAATGCGCGGTTTTAGAAGAATTATAAATATAATAATACAGGCAGTAGGTTCTCACGTACTTGATGTTGATCTCTAATGTGATCTAGGACATCAACAACGGTATGCCACGGACTGTCGCAAAAATTGTAATCTCCCCAATAGCCTGCCACCTTGCCGCTTGTATTCGAGTCATTTTGCCCTTTCCGACAGCACGTTGGTTCGTCACAAAATGAATTGCCGTAAGGCTCGTAGTTAGGATCGTAATGAATATCTGTTATTTGCACTATACTTATGGTCTCATTACTCTCTTTCGGTTCAATAAATTTTGGGGGACCATCATCAATGTTGACTGTCCAATTGAACTCGTCATCATTAAGCGGACAAGACGGTGAGTTCAGTAGAAATCCACAAATTGTGGATGACGTTAGATTCGGCTTTGAATCTATGATATGCACAATTATTGGCTGCAAGTAAAACGTTTAATAAAAACATTGGGCATGTTAAAAATAACACTAGTTTTCAAAAATGTTTTTTTAAATTTTGAATCAGTGTATTCCTTATAGGTTTTTGAATGCTGAAAATGATGCTGCAAGCCAATTTTCATTAACACGTCAGAGGTTTTCAAAATAATTAAAGTTTAATGTGTTAAAAATAACTTTTTTGAAATTTTTTTGATATTTGAAATTGTTTTCTAAAAATGATTAAAATTGTCTTGATATTCTGATTAAAAGTTATGAAAGTATTGTTTATTCCTTAGAATGTATTTCTTTTTATTTCGATATCTTACATTTTATCAAGCCACGTTATGAAGAACTTAAATGTAGAATTTTACTAAGATAATAAATTTTTCGCCTGTAACATGTACATGTATTTGAAGTATATATTTGTTTATAGCTTGTAGCTATCGATAGACATATATAGTAATGTGGGACAAATTCCGCTAAATATGTATATAAAAAATATATATATATGTATATAAAAATGTGTATCAACAGCCTCAAACTATAAAATATAAATGAATGACTTTATCGTCATAAGCGAAAAATTTGCTATTTTAGCAACTGTGTATTTAAATTTTTCGTAACATAAAAAATAAAATATTCAAATTTAAAAAATTGCATTTTTATTTTCAAAGTCATTTTTTACACATTAAACTTCAATTATTTTAGAAACCTCAACAAGCTAGTGATATTTACCTTGCGGCATTGTTTTTAGCACTCAAAAATCTATAATACATTGTCTAATTTAAATAAATCATAATTTTTAACTGTAAACTAATATAATTGATGCCAAAATATCTTATTGCTATGAAAGAATTCTTACTTATTACTCGTTAAAAAAATAAAATTTTTCAATTTTCGATATTTATTTGCATAACAATTTAATTTACGTACTAAATTGATGGTTACTGCACCATTGCAGACTTGTGCCGTTTGCAGCTTTAGTAGAGTACACAGTTTAATCACTCTAGAACTTATGTCTTCTACTGACATGCCATTTCTATAATATTCTATAAAAGTATTTACAACAGATTTACATATTATGCAAATGTTTGATTTTAAATCGCCCTCGAAACTACGCCAATCTGTATGCTGCAAGCCGGTTGGAAGAGTTAGACTATGGATTAACTGTTGAAATTCTTTAGTTTCCTTTTGTTCAGGTACCCAATTATTAAGTTCATGTGTAAAGCGTGATATTGTTTCATCTGTAAAAACAGCCAATATATTTTAGTTTTTTTTTTTTAAGACAGGGTACAAGATATATTAATTAATAATATATGAGTATTATTTTTTGCCTTTATGATTCTGTGTTTAAAGTAATTATCTTACAATCCTATAACATGACAACATCTATGAAATACATCTGATCGAGGTTGCGCAATCTTAATTGATGATTAAAGATAACACAATCATTAATTTTAATTTTTTACATCCACGTTGAAATCCAATCCGAGATCTCTAACGGAGAGGAAATTGATCAAGCACATTGATCAATTGGCTGAATTGTTCAAACGTGATTTATTAATTTCTTCTCCGTTCGAGATCTCGCATCGTACAATTTCTAGCAATTTCTAATCTCATCGAGGAGCTTTAAGCAACATGAATGTACAGTAAAATCACTTATACATATATTTCGCTCTGTCAAGATTGCACAATTTTGATCAAAAAAAACATCTGATAATATGGATAGCATGAAACATTATATCAAACTTTGCATTATTTGATGATGTAAGTTCAAATATGAATATTGTCTTTTGTTAATATATTATTTACAGAAAAAATATATAAAATTTTAAGACTGTAAATGTACAATTTGTTGATTTTTAATTTAAATTTTTAATAATTTATGTAATAGTTTGTCATACTTGTATTACTGGTCACGTTGCTGTTTGCAACTTTTAATAAAAGTGCAAGAAACAATAGTCTGCTGAACCGCATGTTGTCGCGACTGGGTCACTGTAGCACCACTGCGTCCCGAGAGTTATTGAACAGTTATATAGTATCATGCTATTATATCTTTAAGATAATTCCCCCACTTCAAACAGTTTCGAAATGGTTCAATATGTATAAGAGATGATAGAGATATAATTATTACCACAATGCTACGTTATGATCAATGCGTAACATAAAACAAATAAAAAGGTTGCTATCGTTATGATAATATCTAATCATTTTGCTTTTATACTTGTAGTAATAGATATTTCGCTTTGATAATGTACTTGATGAATTCTGTAATAATTAAAGAAAATCTGTAATCACACGGTCTTCAATGTTCCGTGCTATATCACTAATTTAATTAATACTATGTACATTTAATGAAACACAATAAATAATATCGTAATTAATTATTAATTAAAAAGTGAAATGTAATCGAACTTGTACTTGTAAAAATCATCAATTTTATTTCATTTCTGGATTTTTATTAATACATAAAATATATTTATTAGGATATAATACATAAAATATATGTATTAGGACAATAAATTGAACGATTATCTTAGACATAAAAATATTTCGATTTCATAGCGATCGATTTATATGTGTCATATTTATACGCGTGCTGCATTTAGATCTTTAAATGCGGTTGCATTAGAAGAGTGTGAGTACATATCTCAGATATCTTGCAAGAAGATTACATTAATTCACAAAAATTTTATTTTGAATCAGATAAGATGTTTCTCGTAGATATTTGGATTACTGAAAATGACATCGCAAGCCAAATTTCACAAGCAACGTCGAGTTTCCGAGATAATTCATAATTGACGTCATTGCGTTAACAATTTTGCGACGTTGTTTTTCAGTCTTCGCAAATCTATAATATGTATAGGAAACACCTTAGTTCAAAATAATTTTTGGTTGTAAATAAATCAAATTTAAAAAATTATGTACTCTTATTTACTGACTTCAGACATTTCAATCTTCGATCATAAGATCGTCCATCATTTCCTCGAGTGTGATCTGCGGAATGCTCGCGTCTATCTCGTTAGTATCAACGGGGATGTGCTTCCGAATGTCTCGATATATATTGATGTTCTGCCTCAATTCTGGGTCTTCCTCCAACTCATCCAGGAATTCATTGTACTCGCTAAAATGCAATTGATATCATGAGACAATTTCGCGTTACACAAACTAGTATATTTTGCACATCGTTTTCTACGTACTTATTTTCTGTACTTATACTAGCCACTTCGTCAGTAATATGTTTCAGCTTCCATACTCGCGCCTTGCGACGAGCCGCCTTGTTATGGCCGTAAAACTTCTTTACCAGAATGACATCTGGTATTAAATCTTCACTCAGTTTCTCAAAATTGCTATCGTTAATATTACTGTCCTTCAGAGCGTAACTGCAATAAACGAATACAAACCAAATTATATATACTCTTAAAATAAAATATTTATTCTATAGTAACAATGTAAGACACGTGCGCATTTCGATGCATGTTACAAATAATTTATTATAAATTATTACATAAACTTACCCAAGTACCGAATCACCTGGTTTAAGTATATGGCCTAAATGTGTACGCGTGTGAATTGGATTATCGTTTATCCCCAACTCAGATGCTTTCACTACCCATGCGTCCGCTATGATGTGCTACAAAATTGGTTATTAAAAATTAGCTTTTTGAATGAATTACGTATTCAATTTCTCATACGTTAAGAAGATAAATATTTTCTCTCAATATGATGTTACATAAGTAATCATACACAATTGTATTGCTATCGAATTAGCTTATACAGAAGGAAAGCTTACTTTATTAGAGATTATCCCTTGTCCCGGAAAAACTTTTCTCTGATTACATTTCATCGGTTCAATATCCATCACGATGTATTCTGTTAATTGTTTCGGATCGCATATACTATTGAAATTATTTCTCCAGTAGACAGTCGCACTAACTTCAGCAACTAAACGAAACACGCAAAAATACACTGTATAGCAACAATTAAATTTATCGTTAAGATTAATATTATCTTACAAAACTTACTTTGCCCCGATACAAAGTCTATAAGATGTACAGAATTTGTAATTCGGTATACCAAACAAATAGGACTGATGCCACCCAAGTGCAGACCCAACTTCCGTGGTAGGCAGACTACGCTGTCCTTGGAGAGGGGAACGATTTCAACACTGTAAATAGTTCAATAAAGATATAACGATTCGCCTTGCAATGTGTCGCACAAACGTAGGTTGCGTATATTCACCAGAATGTAAACTTGTAATTGTATATATTACTATGACAATCGTGTGAAACTAATTTCTTCGAATGTTGATACTGGCATGGCATTACCGTCGTTAGAAAATCAACCATTTTTCTGGCCGCCACTTCGTTCGCAAAGTAGAAGTCCAGACCGTCTGTAAATGGTTGGAACATTTTATCTGTTTTTTTAAATCTGTTATCTTGATTGCAATATATCAAAGCTCTGAAATGCAATATTTACCATGAATAGGCTTTATGCCCAGTGTATGGTCATGTGCCTTATTTTTCAATATCAATTGTTCTAAGTAGTAAAAGGTTTTCTTGTTTGTTGCTCTCTGCCGGACTTGCACCTAGACAAGCGATATGCACAAGGATACATATAATAATATAATAATTCAGCACATTTGAATTTTTTTCTCTCTGTAACATCATGAAAACTTACGCATGCACGCCAGTAATCCTTAGCCTCCGTACGGTGACAATCTTCGCACATCTGATTATTCACGAGGTATTCGACCACGAATACTTGCTGCAGGACTGTTCCTCCGATTACTTCTGCATGAACAGTTAGCTTTACCTAAGAATAATAATAAGATATTATAAAATGGAAGAATTTGACGCATAAAATCGAATTAATTAATTGTAGACGATTGCATAATCACTGCATCATGAGAGTTAAATACATATATAACTATTAAAAGATTATAGACAAAGATATACCGGTAATGTACAGCTATATATTTATGTAAAAATCAATTGTATATTTTAACTATCAACAAACATCAATTAAAAAGATACTATTTCATGCTGACGCTCGATACTCATGGGATGCTGATAATTGAAGAGTTTAGATACCTTTTTATGATAATTCATTTTTAGATACATCAAAACAGATCATGTGATAAAAATTGATTTCATCAATTATCAATTGTCAGCGTTAGCAAAAGATATACCTAAACTATTGAATTTGATCTCAATATCATATAATTTCATACAACTTTATTTATATCACCTGTGGAACTTACTTTCAATCTTTTTGAATGTGGCTCTGTCCATATAAAATTGGCGTCAATCAGTTTCACACGGTTCAAGCCCTTTAACTTTTTCAAACACAACGACAAGAGTTCTCTGGATTCCAGTGCGGCGTGAATCCAATCGGAAGGTGGCTGAAGGTACCTATTACAATGACATGCGGTATTAATTTGACCGAGATAATCCTTAGTACATACACAATTGGCTCATTTCTGTACCTCTCGCAACCCTTGCAAAAATGTATGGTCGCTTGTTTGGGAATGCCCTCGGTAATGTCCACATGACTACGCAGGCATCCTACACACATGTTGGCAGGATTCGGCTCAATAAGAACCCCGCACTCGCAGCAAAGGCTGTGAGTAAGGAAAACAGCTGTTTTTACATGCTTGCGAGAAATTTTTATTATATCTCTATCTAATTTTTTTTATAGTCATATATATATATATATATATGACTATAAGAAAAATTAGATAGATATAATAAAATAAAAATAAAAAAAATATATATATATATTACACATTATATTTCAAGATAATTACAAGGCAAAACGTCACGTATTTCTAACAGATTTTTTTCATTTTGTATCAAAATACATTAAATGAGTATATTTTCATCAAGAAATTCGCAGTAAGATTTTGTTTTAAAATATTATCTTGCAGAATATATTATGCACATACGTACATCATTCCTTTCGTTTCTTCCTCCTCGGAAGTTTGAACGTACTCCATTTTATGCGTTTGTAACTAAAAAAAACGAGAATTTTATAAAATTCTTATTTTACAGCGCTCCATGCGCCTCTTCACGTGTCTGTCTCTTTAAATCTCCACTTAATCTTGGAAGCGGAAAGTACCACGATAAATTGTATCTGATTCTAAATATATATAAAATTTTGATCTTCTTGCGACAAATCCTTCAGCTTGAACAAAAATCTCTCTTTACTTGAAATTATTTCTAACTTTATTTTCGAAAAACGTGAATATTAACCAAAAAACACTTCACATACGCTTACCTCCACAGTTCCACTAACCAACTAACCTGTAAACTAATCTCGTGAATCATAAAACCAAACCTAACTTAGCCTTGTATCCATGATGCTAGAAATCGATCAGAGATCTCGAACGGAGAGAGAATGGACCAATCATATTAAGTATCACTCTTGTCCAACTGAGACGCAAAGCGCAAAAATCGCCTATACTCCGATTGGTCAACTCTAGAGTCCCTATCTAGGGATTCTAGTCAACTCGAGGCTTTGATTTTTAATAGATTACTCGGAGTAACTTCACATCGGAGAAACGAACGGCCGCTAAGTTCATTCGAGTCGGCTTGTCGTCGTCGTGGTGGGTGGTGAAAGGTATGGTCTAAAGTATTTATGTAACTTCACTTTGATGAAGCGGAAAACAGCCGGTCGCTGTCACCGGACCAGGACGACGGATAAGGCTCGCCAGGTAAGGCACCAGGTAGACGAGGGCAGTGAAGAAGAGTCAACGTGGTGAGAAGCGGAAGCAGACGACGAATCGGCCGAAATCCGTTTCTTTTGCAGACGAGCGAGGTCACGAGGTTGTACGCGGATCGACCGCTGAATTAGGATCCTCTGAGAGGATGGGCTCTGGCCAGAGCGCTCGGAAGCTGACCATCTCGAACGAGGAGGAGGTCGGGGTGATCAAGGTATCGAACGCGATTGTGCAGCGTCTCGCCCAGAATGAGAAATCGCGGTCCTGCGAACCGTCGCCGCCGCCGTCGCCGGGCGCGAAACCCACCGCCGCGCCGACTCAACACCCGGCGGCACCTCCCGGTGCCGCGACAGCCGCGCCTCAGGCCGGCGAAGCGACGCCTGGGCAGCCGGTGTATTATTATCCGGACTTAACCATGTCAGCCCTTCAAATGCAGCAGCAGATGGAAGAGGAGCTGAAGCGGCAGGATCAGCACTGGCAGAAGCGCCTGCAGAATCTGGAGGACGGTTACAAAAAGATCAATCACATCTTGAAAAAAGAGTACCAGAAGACAGCTGACGAGACTTCTATCACTGGTGTGTTTAAATATCATTTGACAGCTTTCTAAGAACCACCGGTTGTTCCACTTTTGGTTGAACTATGTGATAATTTGTCTAATGGATAAGTTTCTGTAAAGTCAATACTAGCTCTATAGTATTTATCCATTAGATAAATTACAGCAGAGTGCAGTTTATCTGAAGATAGATTATCATACTCATAACGTAAAGCTTAAGTCTAAACAAAACTTATACAGCAGCTTTCCAATTTAATATAAATATAAATATGTATCCTTACAGGACAGAAAATTGACGAAATTCAGAATACAGTGCAACCATGTTTGGAGAACAGTAACAAGGTCCTGAAGTGTTTCCAGGACCATCCCAAGGAGACTCTTAAATGTTCGAACTTGGTGGAAGAGTTTTCCAACTGTGTCTGGAACGTGCACTATTCGCGCGTGATCGAAACACGTTCGTAATACGTTCTATTTGTGCGTCACGTGGATCCCCAAAGGACATTTAGTTGAGAATTAATAAAATTGTACATCAAAGTGTAAAGTCTAAATTGCTTAATATCAGCAGAATTGTCGCTGATGGAGAAAGTAGTACACATAAAGCAGAGTACATGAGGAAAAATGTAAAAAATAAATGAAATATATTGATTTATAATAAAAATGATTGTTACATATGCGAGATAAATATTGTTAAGCCAAAGAACACACAAAGTACATTTTTTTCATTAATAAGTACTTATCCCAGATCTAATCAGCATTCAGCAATAGAGTTTATAATACCGCATGTGGCTAAAAATTTATTAACTAAAATAATGAAATAATAAGTGACAGTTGACACGCCTGATTGAAATAATTTGTATGTACATATATTACTTCTCCGAAAGGAAATACAAAACTGTAACGAAAACTTTATAGAATACTTAAAATTACATGATTAATTATTCATAAAAATAAACGAGAATGTATCACGAATTAAGACAGTACAAGGCTTTCTTTGTACATAAGGAGTGTACAAAGTGTACAAAATTTTGTAACTAATTGCGGGAAAGTGTATGTCGCAGAGGCCAATCTAAACGACTTATTTTGAGGTTCCCATACAGTTCTATTTATAGATTAAAATATATACAGTATAACCCAGGGTGCATGACCCAAATAAAGGCCTACAACAGCACAGCACACATAGATTGTGTATATATATATATATATTCTATAATATATATATATTTTTGTATATATATAAGATTATCGGTAAATATAAAACGAGAGGAAATGTTGGGGCAAATGCAAGATTGGAAGTACATTTGAAGGTATATTGTCTAAAATGTATGTAAAATATATATCCTATTTATACATTATTAATACTTGCCGAATAGAACGTGTAGTGATCAGTTTAGTCTCGTGCAGTATAAAATAACAGTTGGCAACATACCCGCCATCAAGATTTGTACCACTTTTTCAAAAAGAAATACAAAGCAACTATAATGAAAATTTCAATTTATGGAATTCTTAGAATTACATGGTTATTTGTTTATAAAACTAAATATCACGAATTAAGACGGGTACAAACTTCGGCACACGCGTGATGCACAAAATTGAAAAGAGGATGTACAGTGTATTAAGAGGCACGTTACACCACCACACAATAGTATATGATAATATTTGTATATAATCTTGTAATGAAAAATTAATATTTTTTTCTAATATCTCATGTCATGTTTAATGAGTGAAGTGTGATGTTTAAATTATGCAATACAAGTAACATAACGTAACAAATTTCAGAAATCGTGAGCAAATGATTAAAAAAAAAGGGAAAACCGAGAAAACCTTGTTTATCTATTTAATCGGTTTTCTTATCACCACTCGATTGCGCGAGTTTCGCATGCTCCTTAGTCAAACGATCGTATTCCTTCGTGAGTGACTCCGCCTGCGATTTTAGCGCTTCCTTATCCTTCTTCTCTTTAGACAGATTGTTCTCGAGCTCCTGGTTCTTCGTCTGTAACTCCTTGATTTGATTCTTCAGTTCCGAGACAGCCTTATCGTGCGCCTCGTTGGAATCGTTCTGCGCGCTTTCCCCGCCGACCGTTCTCTGGGACAGCAGACTTCTGGCTGTGCTCGTCGCGGACTGAGCCTGCCGCATGGCCGCCTCGTTTTGCGCGAGTAAGGTGGCCTGGGTGGATATCAGGATAACAAGACGGCGTATCACCAAGCTCAGAAACAAGGCGAAGCCGGATATGTAGAAGTTCCTCTGTGCGCGGAACAATCTCATGTTTTCTGAAAGAAATGTATGGGGGGAACGTAAGAATTAAAAGATTCCGCATTCGTATCTCACTTTTAATTGATAACTCTCAGAAAAATTTAATACTGTAAGTATAATTAAATTGGTTAGCAATTAATTACTTATTTTAAGTATAAAAAACTGTACTAACAACAGCGCTTCTCACTACTCACAATTAATCACTAATTTAATATTTACAGTATTAAATTTTTAAATTATAAGTCTTTTGTATTTTTATATTCTTTTTTATGGCAATTTAAATCGTATTCTTCTGGCTCTTGATTACAGCACAGATTATGCACGTCTATATTCATTAAAAATTAAATTTTTTACTAAATATCTCTAAGAAAATGCCATTAAATGTGCATTCAGCACATAATTTGTATTATAAAATCTCTTACTATAAAAATAAATGAACACATTTATTGATAAATGACGTATGAATATGGACCATAATCTGTGCCGTAATCAGAAGCCAGAAGAATATGATTCAAATTGACATGCAAAAAGAATATAAAAATACAAAAGATATATCATATAATTTACCTTGCATTTCGAGATTCAATTGATGATGATGGTTCTCGTGATCCAGGCTCTTGGTGTACTTGTGCATCTCTCGTATGGCGTCCAGCAGAAAGAGAACTAGGACACCCAGCAGTACTATGAAGTAAATGGAAGCCTGATTATTTATACTTTGCAAAAAGCGCGACCTGAAGAGCCTCTGCCATCTGGTCGGCGAGGCAATTGGCAGCACCAGGAGGAGAACGATTGCGACCTCGATGTAGAGGAAACCAGCTATGAGCGTCCACTGTAAACTCATGTTTGCCTCTTATTCTGTGCCCCCTCGTGTATGGATACCTGAAAAAAAAATGGCAAGATACAGATGCCAATGTATAGTTTCGTCAGGTATTTGTTGTGGCAGCTCGGTCGAGACGGATATGTTTCGCCTCGGTCAGAGCATTGCATCATTTTTTTAAGTGATGAAATCCCCCCCCCCCGCCACTGTGAGAACATCAAAAAATTTAGATTCAGTATTTCGTGTTTAATATTATTGCGTTTTCGCCTTTGTATTCCACTTAACGATTTTTCGGATTCATTTCATTATGTACAGACGTGGACGTATCGGTTGCTTGTTTTTATAAACTTCGAAACGCACTAATATTTTGCAAATACGAACCACGATTGGTGTCATACTATCTCTAGACTAAAAATAATAACATCGTGGTTCACAAAATTGTGAACCATCGTGGTTTGCAGAATATTAGTTATCTATAAAACATATATTATATATACACTAAAAACCTATGAAAAAATTGTCGCAACCGATATGTTTACGACTGTACATACAAGATTTCGGTCATGTGAAAAAAAGAAGCATAGTGTCGTCTCGAGACCTTGGAAATGAGGTGTTTTTTTTTTATTGTACTGTAGAGTTTTCCTTCTCGCTTTTGCCAAATATCAAACCTACATCTATTTCACTTTAAATATAAAGAGCGTATACTAGTTTAGCTATTAAAAAAAAAATAAACAGACCTCGGCGGATCAAGCGTTCATCGAAATTCTCCTCGTCAGCCGAGTTTTATTTCCTTCTGCACGTGAGCACGGCGCTTCCTACCTTTCCTAGCGAAATGCCTGCGCGACACGATACGATAATTGCACCGAAACGAAAAACACTGCATTAATTCACGTCGCTGCAACGACGTAATTGTACACCCCGACGAGCGCGTGCGACGCGAATTGACAGGATGACACGCGATTTCTAAACGTATCGGTCGTGACGCGTGATATCACGTCATTCTTGGTCATTCTGAGATACCCCGCGACGCGAGGATTCGTGGTGATCCCGCTAATCGACGACGATCCTGCGGACCGTCCCGGAACCCGCGCGACACTGTCACGTTTCGCGCGTGTGATAGTCGCGATTCGTAATCGCGATCCGCTCGGAATAGAATTACTTTAATAAAGGACCACGTTGCCGCTAGACGGAGAGAACGAATCTCGACGATCCGGAGGCCGGAATCGTCAACTCTCGTCGGTACGCCTCTTCTAAATTAACACTGACACGAAGAGATATACATTTTGAATAGCTGCTTAGCAACGAATGTATATATCCTCGGCGTAATTATACATCCCGTTCGCCCGGGCGACCGGCGAGGCGAATTTTACTCGTTAGCCACTGCCAAAAACGGTTTCACCAAAAGAGGATTCTTACCTATTATACTCCCCGAAGACGAGTGGCGACGACGAGAGAAATATCTCGAGAGGTTTGGGACACGTCGTCAGTCCGCGGAGATTTTTGCGACGTGCAACGACCAACGTGCAAGGTGCACGAGCAGCGGTAGGCTCAAAGTACGAATCCGAGCGCGAGCAATGTCGTCGGCGGTTTTATAAATAAACCGTACCCTGTGACGTCACCTAGGCTCCGAGGAAAATACATGAATCTCTCTCTCTCTCTCTCTCTTTCTCTGCGCCTCATTTTCCTTCTCTCTTTCTGTCACGATACACATGGCATATACGGTAGTCGCGTGCGATTCGCATTGCACGCGATAGCCAATCACCTGCCGTGGCGTGTAACTACTTCTGGAAGAGGAAACAGCTGATTGGCCAACGCCAAATCGCACAAATTATTCTCTACGGTGATTTCGCTCAATCTGCAATTAATTAATCAGACGATTAGACCCGCGATTAATTTTCACCTATCCCCCCGATTAACGTGATCTTGATTTTTACACTTATCTACCCCCGGACAACCACCGGTTGAATTGGAAGTTTCAGGTGCTCGCCCATTGGACGTCGGAACGGCGTACATACGTCACACATTCCGTGACGATCGGATGCGGGATGAACCCGCCATTAGAGCGAATGCGCGTAGGAAGAAAACCGCTCTTCCGTACTACGTCCGCCTGTCATGGACGCTTCGCAGTGTTTACATGCGGAACGTCAGATCGATACCGTGTGCACACGCACGAGTGCGTCCGATCGATGAGTTTCTGACGATGCGTGAAGGTGCTCGTACACGTGTCTGATTCGCCGTGCGTACGATTAATAAAGCGACGGCAAACGTGCCGAGGAGGAGAAAGAGAGAGAGAGAGAGCGAAAAGAGAGTGTGCGCGAGCGGGAAAGACGCGACGCCGCGCCGGCAAGGCAATGGACCGCTGCTCGTAGTTCAGTTCCAACGAAGCGCGCGCGAGACGAGGTCTGGTTTGGCGCGGAGACAACAGCCTCCCGGAAAGGACAGGCAGATTCCCGCGCGGAGCTCTGTGGGTCTATGGGATACAACATCGCCAGCTGGGAGATGATACGCACGCGGGAGGAGAAACTGAGTTTTGACAGCACCGAGGATCAGCACGCGATGATGAACAACATGGTAGACGCGCGGGCCTGTTACAAGCCCAGCTGCAAAGTGAGTGCCGAGATTTAAGCGCAAAGCGAGTTTCAAAGCGATCGCGTTCAAGGCAACTTCAATTGATTAATTCCCGATTAATCCGGCCGCTTTCGGGCAAAATTTCAGGCTACGTAAAGCTCCGGTCGCTAATCCGATCTTTTTCTCTCTGTTTTTGTCGAACAACGAAGGACTAACAATTCCATCCAACATTCTATGTTAGTAAAGTAATTTGGATAAAATTAACTATCTGAGAATTAACTTGATTAACTTATCGAGTTAATTCTATTGTTTGCAGTATTTTAACCCTCCACTAGTGGTGGCTGACTGACTTTGAATAACTAACAAATACCAGACAGATATTTGTTAATTTTCAAAAATTATTTGTATATCTCTATATCGTAAAAATGTCAAAAATCAAAATACGACTTTTTGTCCTGTTGTTTTATATATCTATACGCGGAGTGATTTTTTTTATTATTTAATAATGTATTGATCAAAAATGAGTTAGCCACAGTCATTCAAAGGATGTCTTTCAATTAATACAGGCATTACTTGATAAATTAATCGGGATTCAATTAAAGTTGCCGGTTCAATCTTTGTAAGATGTTTTTTTGTGAAAGATTTTTGCATGCAACTCTCCGTAATTTGCCGTAAATTTTTATTTGTATGTTTGTATGTTAATCGCATAATCCCGGTTTTGGCTGTCATATACAAATTTTTATATAGACAAAGAAATGATTTTGAATCGATGTGGCGATAGATTCTTGCAGCGTCAATAAATCATTGTTTTAGGCATCAATCTGTCTGTTTCGTAGCGTTGTTATACTTGTCGCGTGTGCATGTAATGCAGCTGATTTTGGGCCTCTTCATTTATATGTACAATTAGTCAGAGACACGTAAAAAAGTGTTCCTAAGAGCGACGGATAAATGGACGGATTCAGGTTCGTAATACTTCCATCTATGATTTATTCATTTTTATTGAACTTTTTCAATGAAACTACGATGCATCTTTATTTTAAACAGAGCTTTGAATGAATCCCGGAATTATGTTCCAAGCTTTGGATAATTGTTATACATTAAATTCACGATAAGCCCTCATTGCTCGAGAAATTGTCGTATTTCTATTTCTCTTCTATGTTCGTCGTGAGTCACGGATTCAATTGCGGCACAAATTAAATGGAAGGCAGAAAGAAGACCCTTATACAGTCCACTCGAGCAGTCATTCGTGTGTTGCTGAAGAGAGCACTCGCGAAAGTATCAAACTCTCAAACAAGTAATTCAATATTATTGATACCGATCCGCGTCTTGTTGCCGCTTCATCGCTAAACACTGCGCGAGGCACTGCGTGACACTACAAACAAGCAACAGGCGTCAGATTCCGCGAGCACTGAGCACCACCAGAGCACTAGATAGTCGCTCGCCTTCGTCAGTAGAAGCGGAACGGTCGGCGTGACCGAGCCTTCGTCGTTACACATCGCTCGATAGCGCTCGGCACTCGCACGTATAGCTCTCGACGTAGTTCTTCCCTTCTGTGCGACGAGCGCGTGTCGGCCGAGGTCTCGTAATAACCGCTCCGTTGTTCGACCCATCGCGAGGAAGACGAGGAAACGCAGAAAGTTGCTCATGGCGCATCCGTGTGTACGTATCGCAATTTAAATGTTATCTCCCCGCAGACGGTCTCACGTTTGTCGGAAGGGTGTATCGCACGTATCCGTAAGAGCTCCCTACTTATCTAGATCACTTTGGTTTCGTAATCTTTCCGTCGTAAAGTCGTTCGACCGGGGTGGATCGTTCCTTCGAGTCGAAGGAAAACGATCATTCAACGGCCTCGAGTAGAGGCTCGATGACATGCTAATAGCAGAAATTAACGATATCGGTCGAAAAAAAACGTTTCAATACATTCTTAACATCGAAACTGTATGATGATGTATAGCCCATATGGCCTAGATTATCTGGCACGCGTGATATAAGCCATCAAAGAAACCTTTATCCCACAGGAATGTGCCCGCGGCAGCCACCGAGATAAGTTATCACCGCGAGCTTTGATCGCGTCGTTAACAAGCGAAGTGTCAATAACTGGATATTTTAATTACTCGAAGAGAGACACGGTTCAAGTCGACGGTTGACAAACGGCCGTCGAGAGTTCTCTCTTTTTTTTTTTTTTTTTCGTTGAATCGTGCTCACGTCGATAGAAAGATGTACGATCATTCGAAGTCGTCCAGAATTGGAGGGAAAGTGAGTTGTTGAACGCTCAGAAAAGAGAGAAGATCTCGTTAACAGGATCATCGCCGTCTCCGTAACGACGCGATCGTCGCGATAAAACTCGGCCCGAGTCTAATTACGCGAATTAATCCCCCACCACATTTTCCCTGCCTTGCCCCTTACGTATAGTTAACTTTAGTTACGCGCACGCGGAAACGCTACGGCCGCGCTTTGACGCGCCGCGCGCGAACGAGCGAGCTTACTCTTATATGATTTTATGAGTTAATTAGACGCGTGTGTCTCATTTTCCTTTGTTTCTTCTAGTAAGCGCGGCGTGAGAGAGAACTGCTCGTGTAGTTGGTTGCAATATTATCCACACCAGTGTCTCTTTCTCTCTCTCTATTTTTCTCTTCTTGTTTCTCTCCCTCTTTTCCTCTTTTCCTCTCTTTCTCTCTGTGTTTTTCCAACCACCTGCACATGCATGGGTCCCGGCTTGTCGATTACCGCGTCCCCGTTGTGCACTGGCGACGATCGTCTCACCGCGCACGTGTACTCGTCGAGCACCGGCTGTCCCGGACACCAGATCCCGATTAACGTCAGACATGACCAACGATAGACAGGTGAGTACCATCATCTCCCGCTCTCATAGAGTTCCATACGATTAACCCTGGGTATATACACTTATCTTTCATGTAGGTGTGACTACCTGCACGCAGGGATCCGAGAGATCCTGTCAGTCCTTTCACCATACAGTGCTCAAGAAAATTACCATATTGCATTATTTTTCAATAATCGTAAACGAACTAAAGAAATACGTCTACTAAAGGTCAGTTGTTCCACCTTCGAATAAACTAGATATATATATATATATATATATATATATATATATATGTATATACATAAAAACTATAGGTATGTGGTTTATTCAAAGGATAAAAGTCTATAAAACCAGTAGTATTTATCCGAAGGTGGAACAACCTAGGTAGTCTGAAATCATAATAATAAACCGAAAAACATGATTCCTCTATTTACTTTAATTCTGCCAATAACAGAGTTGTGAAATTTCATTGAAGTCTCCGAGACCTCAGAGTGTATACCCAGGGTTAAAATCAGAGGGAAACGCGGCGTTTCTGCGCTGGAATGTGTATCAAGCCTGTGATTTGTATGAGAAATCAGCTTTGGATTATTACATGTTTAAAGTGGACTTTGAAAGAAAGGAGTAATTTTCGGTTTGATTTGCATCCCTGCAGCTAAATGACGATCCCAAATTCTATCAAGTTTATGCCTGTGCACGTTGAGCGAATTGTTTAGTCTTTAAAACATCTTCAAAAGTCGATGTATCGGAATCTCATTAAAATCAATGCCTTTTCGCTTTTGAATTCATGTGTCAAAATATCACGTGTACATTTTTTTCTCTTCGTATAAAACAACAATTGCTGCGTAGAATAAATGAGGATGTAAAATAATCGCGTCTTTATTGCATTTATATCTACGTAGCAACGAGGAAGCCGCAACGTTATTACATAATGTACCGGTTATTGATTTTGATTACGATACCTCTTGCACATTTTATGCACAGGGTGTCCCAGACCTACCGAGCAGCCTTTCACCCACGTTTCCTTTGATCACTTTCGATCTAATCTTTCCTTTCCATAAGGATAACTGTAGCTTTTAAGCAAATTTTTGGGAGTCAAACGCAGATTTTTCATTTAATTTTAAACGGATTTTAATTTCGTTTAATTTAAATTAGCAGAGGATTCGCAGACGGGTGTAAGGAGACGGGGACGGGCTCGAATAGATTCAGGAGATCCTTTGCACGCCTTCACATTTCCGAGCGAAGAATTTCGGTGTCGATCCTTTCGCCGCAATTCTTACGCAGTTTTCGCAGTCCGCTTGATTATCTTTTTTTTTTTCTGGGAAAAAGTCGCATAATTCGATCTATCTCACCGCGCTACACTGCACGCGCCCAGTAAAAATTGTCGATTCACACGAATTCAAGAGATTTCACATTCGCGTCAATTAGCCGCAACCGCGTGTGACTCACTGCTGTTTCTCTACGCGCAGTTTCAGGAGAAAGAAAAAACGTAATTAAAAAAAAATCTGTTTAATACTAGAATCGCTGATGGTGGCCATCCACTTTTGGCTCCGATAATCGTTTCCGGATTTTTTTTTTGTGTCATACAGTATAGAATATCGAAAATATATGAATATATCTACAAAAATAATTCTGATATTAATATCAAAAGAAATTCTCTTCGCTAACCGAAATTAAGGATAGGAAATTACCAAATTAGCACTTTAAGCAATTCTAGCGTTAAATAGAAAAAGAAATCCGTTTGAGTATTTAGCTTCGATGATGTTTCGAGTACAGAGTAACGGAACGGAGAGGATACACCGCATCTATTGTAACATCGTGTAACGTTTTGCTCGCCGGCGCGATTTAATTATCGCGCGTGATTCCGGCGCGGGGAGTTGAACAGAGCCGCGTACGCGAAGAGAAGAACGTTGTACATGCAATTTCAAGTTCGTTTGTGCGGGTTCTCTCGGTCGTTATTTTTATACCTCATCGCGCATCGTTCCGCGTCGATTCCCCTCTCGGACTTTGTCCTCGGCGAGGAGCCCGCTGAAAAATCTGCAATTGTCAGCTGATCAACGAAATGTCTGTATTTCCGTTCGTGACGCCGTAAACTTTCTTTTTCACGGTTTCTGAGTAAGAGAGAGCCCTCCCGAAGATCGTACACACATGAATGGTATTATATTTCTCTTTAATTCTCTTTAATTCCCTTTTCCCCCTCGAAATCGTCACAGACACACGTACAATCGTATCGGTGCGACGCGCTCCGTTTCTTTCTTTCTTTTTTTTATTGATATGATTTTTTATGACTTCACAAGATTGCAATAAGTATTCACGACTTTTCAACGTGTTCCTGCAATCGGGACGTAACGAAGCAGAATTTACGAGAGACAGGGAATGAGTAATGAAAGTGGATGTTAATGATATTTACAGTCGTGGTTCCGCGGCGTTCGAAGCAGCAAGTTTCGGCACGTTTACGGCGTGCCGGCCAAGCGGGAGAAATGTTACGACAACATCAAGATCACGAAGAACGCCCACGATTCGCAATTCTGCGCCGTAAATCCCAAGTTCCTGGCTGTCGTGACGGAGGTCGCCGGCGGCGGAGCGTTCCTGGTGTTATCGCTGGATCGCGTGAGTTATCTGTGTTTTATCGATTTATCGATTCTTTCCTCTGCGCAAGAATAAAAGTATTAACTGACGCGATAGTGTCAGAGTCCGAAAAAATAAATTCAAATGTTTCCCGCAAATGCTTCACAAAATATTCTTACGATTAATTATAGATTTTCATGTAATCGTGTCAGTATATCGCGTTGTATCAATTAATATTATTATAGTAATATCAGTCATTTTCTCAATGTTGCAGACCGGCCGTCTCGACTTCAACGCCAGTCGTGTAACTGGGCACACGGGTCCCGTTTTGGACATCAAATGGAATCCATTCAATGACAACATCATCGCATCCTGTTCCGACGATTGCACTGTAAGAAATGTTTTGCATTTCATTTCATTTGCATCTTCAAAGCTCGCAGGAGATTTCTGTGCAGACCGAATGTAGATTAGAAAATTTTAAATTTATGCTAATATATTTTTAAACTAGAACAGCGATAAGATAAACAGGCTCACAGAGATTTGGATTTTTATATCTAGATAAAATTGTGGCATATACCCGATGGCGGATTGTCGAGGAACTTGACCGAGTGGCTGGTGGAGTTGCAAGGACACAAGCGACGCGTCGCTTATATTGAATGGCATCCGGTGGCGGAGAACGTGCTCTTCAGCGCCGGCTTCGATCATCTTGTCATCGTGTGGGACGTGAACAGGTGTGAGGCAGTGAGCGTAATCGATCGGCATCCCGATGTAATTTATAGCATGTCCCTAAACCGCGACGGCAGCTTATTGGCGACCACTTGTAAGGACAAGAAATTGCGAGTTTTTGAGCCGAGGTCCGGCATCGTAGTTTCGGTAAGGAAAGATCGAGTTTATCGATTATAAACGAGTATAAACGTATTTATTTAATTATACGAGCCTCGAATATATCACTTTTAGCAATCTGTGTTTGACACTGCAAATGTAGAAAATATACACTATTCATCCGTATTAAATTTAATAGAAATTAAAAATAAACGTAAATAGAAATTAGTAAAAAATCTCAATTTTTAATTTTAACAGGAGGGGGTATGTCACGCCGGCACGAAAGCGAGCAAGGTGGTATTCCTCGGCAGCTCCGGACGTCTTTTGACTACTGGATTTAGCAGACATTCGGATCGACAATACGCGATATGGAGTCAGCATGATCTAACTGTCCCACTGACATGCGAGACGATAGATTCGTCGAGCGGAGTGGTTTTTCCATTTTACGATAACGATACCAATATGGTGTTCTTAGCCGGAAAGGTAAGAATCTACGGCATGTGTAATACGAACTGTTGTAAAACTCACACTACGTTGTGTTGCTTTCTGCAGGGCGATGGTAACATTCGGTATTACGAAGTGGTCAACGAAGCACCCTGGATGCATTACCTCAGTCAATTTATATCGGGAAATCCTCAGAGAGGATTGGGGGTGATGCCGAAAAGGGGCATTAACACTTCTTTGTGTGAGGTATTCAGATTTTACAAGTTGCACGCGACCCGCGGAATGTGCGAGCCGATCTCGATGATAGTACCACGGAAGGTAAGTGACTGACAAGTGATACTTCATATATTTCTTTCACAAAATGCGTTTTAAAGATGCGTATTAAGGAAAGCTATGTTACATGTTACAGAGTGATCAATTCCAAGAAGATCTGTATCCCGATACAATTGGAACGTGTCCCGCACTATCGGCTAGAGATTGGACCAGCGGCATGAACAGCCCGCCGATCTTGATCTCTCTTAAAACAGGTCCGACATTTTTAAACTGTAACTATACATTGCGCGATCCGTCCTAAACATTGTTTAGATTTTTCCCATCAAGCTACTCTTTATTCGTTTTTCTATTAATGCGGCATATAGTAGTAAAATTCTATTGAGCAGTCATGTTAATGAATATTATGTTCTCTCATTAGGCGGGAGTATCTCTACGCATAAACCACGAATATATAAGCCACCGCAATTGCCTGCGACTACCGATTTGAATAACAAAAAGAAATTCGCGTTTCTGTCTACGGAAACGATACCGGATTATAGACCGGTGGAATTGCACGATATGTCGGAGAAGAGCCAGAAGACATCCAGCAATCAGAGCACAAAGTTTCAGCAACTTCAGCAGAAGTTTGGAAATGTTACTATACAGGTACGAGAATAATACATGTACATTATATCGCTGATATTTTTTGTTTTACATACTTTACACTTGAAATGTTTCTTTTCCTATCAGAAGAATATGATCTCGTCTTCGATTAATGACAATAAAGCTATGGAGACTGTGGACGTTCCAAATAACGAAGCGGAACTTCGTTTGGCATTTGCTCGTCAAACCGACGAATTGAGACTGGTACGACGGCAGCTCGCTAACAGCCAACTGCGCGTTAAGGAATTAGAGGACCAAATACGAAAACTGCAGCGTCAATAAAGCTTCGCAAGCTCGCTTCGCGCTATCGTCTTTGTATGAGACTCTTACAAACTTCACTGCTACACGTGATTAGCAATCAATACTTAAAAGTTTTCTAGAGTATTTAACGCACCGCTAATAATGATGAAGAGCCTAAGCTTACGAGAAATTTTGTACTAACACGCTTAGGGAACCTTAGCTTGCTTCATATTCACGTACACAAAGAAATATCCGCACAGAACAATTTTTACTAACTTTTCTTGAAATATCTACAATTTTTATGTAGAATAAAAAATTGTCACGTTGATCACAAAGGGAACAGAAAAAAAGTAGGCTGCATTTGTTATATGAAAATTGTACCTGTTCACGCACATACTTAGATGTGTAAGTCGGATATTAGAGAGATAAGAGAGAAGCACAAAATACCTTTAGGGCAAATGGCAGCGTAAGCGTAGTAATTCATGATGTTATCAGTTAAATTACGTATTTTACTTTTTTTTTTAAAACGATATGTTAGTACTAGTCTGTTAATCAATTGTTTATTTTTTTCTATTACTGTTTTTGTATGTTTATTAATTACTTAACTTAATATATTATTTAATATATTTCTTCATCATTAGAGATATTTCGTGAGACAGTATTTCTTTTGCGTATTATCACGATTACTATTGCTTCTGTTTGCATCGTAAATTTATCTTTGCAACACGTAAAATATGAAGTTCATTGCTGATCTATTTTATGATATGCTCTACAAAGCTGCAACGTCATGTATGTACGAGTGAACCAGCGTATTGATATATTTAAGCATTTTGCTATCGCATACATATATTTTTCACTGCCATCCACTGCCGCGATGTCGATGGCAATAAGATCTCCAAATCTATGAAGTGCAGTGATACCTCTAATAAATGTCACAATTAGTCTAAAAAAAAGAAACTAGCTTAAAATTCATTTTTATACAAGAAATGCACAGTGTAACGTACGTGCAGTTTAGCAACATCATTAGACAATGTACAATCGATGATATACCGCGAACAATAAAATATGTACGTATATTTTTAAGAAACGCGACGTTTATCGCGACACAAATGTCGGTTAAATTCACCCTAAACTTGAAGGGGATATACAATAGCAAGTGTGTTAGAACATTTACTTTTAGCCTTAGCCTTCGTAGTTCTGAGAATCATACAGAAGTATATTTTCCGCTTAATAACAATAATCAAGTTGTGTAATGATTTATATATACACAATATATACGTTTATATACGTATTTTTCATACAATTGTGCAATTATACCGATAAATACATATATAGTACCTGGATGCTACACTTCACATATCGCCTTGCGAGCGTAAGATTTCACTATCTGCAAAATACAGTATGGATAAAATCTCGAGACGCATTGATACAGCAATATGTGACGTAGCATTCCCTAGTCTTTCTCCACTAGTTGTTTACTTTATCATCGTCATTAGCTTTAATTACCCGTAAATAAGGTATTTTATTGAACTCTTCTTTTATAACTCTTCTTTTAGACATGTAACTTCTTCGAGAGCAGTTGAAGTTACGTATGTTATATTAGGCAGTGCATTTTATAGGCAATAAAATACATATTGCGAGGTAGTTTGTAGTTATATTTTCGATATTCATATTGAAAGCAATTTCTATGATATTTGTACGAAGATCGAAGTTTCGTTTTCGTGATAGACGTCAGTAATGTAACGAATATTTATATAAAAACTTCGCTACGAATTATAAATTTACTCCTGATGCAGTATCGTGACGCAATTTATGCCTGTATCGTGATTTATATGTAATTTATATGTAATTTATACATGTCAATTAAATATATATTAATCGAGATCCATGTAAACCATTTTTAAGAAAAATACCAAAGAGCGTCGGTAGTTATCTCGCAGATTACAGACCAGTTCATTGTCAGTGTAGTGTTGTCTGTCTAAAGGATCTACGATTGTACGAGGACAAGGAAGATACTGTACTTGTGATACGCGTGGCAAGCAGGGGTCTTATAATAAAGACAAAAGGAAAAACAGTCATAAAATTGTGTATATAAAATGTATTATTATTAATATATAAGCAAAAATATTTTACTCGCTTCGAGATTTTACGCAATTTAATTCTCTGTATTATGCCAGTACATAGCAGAGATATAAAAAAGTGCAGTATATATATTTCTTTCTGATAAATTATGTATACAAATGTAGTATCTTAATTATATAATGCTCGTTTAGAATTTTTTATCTACGAGTCGAATGGACGGATGTATTTCGTTTCAGTTCGTATTGTTTCGTTTATGAATAATCTATTCTACATATCGTTAAATATACGAAATATACAAAAATATTAAATATAAAATATACAAATATACTATTGCTCTTAAAATAATGAGACACATTGATCTCTAATTATGTAAAATATATTAAAAAGTATATAAAAAAAGTTCTCTGAAACAGTAATGCTCTTAAAAATCTGGTTTGATGTAAAAAAATTATTGGAGCATTCCTATAAGAATATAATTTCACAGAATGTGAATGGACAAATAAATGGATAGCCACGGGGAAATAATTCAAATATTTCGATTACGTAATTAAAACAATCCCGTTACGAGATTTAAATATAACGTGGTAAAAAAAATCTGTACTAATTGAAATTGATCATTACGTTTTCCGATATTGATAAAAAAATATCTGAAATTTATAATTGCCACAACCTGCGATGGTCACGATACTAGAAATGTCATTGGCAGTGATTAGACATTGATAAAAATTTCATATTTTAGATCCAGTTAAAAAAGGCTTAGAAAAAGGCACAAGAGATTCATCGACAACAATGAATAATAAATTTGTGTCTTAAGCTTCTCAGAGAAGCTTCTACCTGTGAAACAGCTTTTTCCAGACTACCACTAAACTCGCCGGCATGATCCACGTATAAATTGCATCCGGCATGAAGGACATCGCTGAATTGCATCCGTCTTCGGAACACGTGAATACGCAAGTGCGATAGGTCAGTTTGTCACCCGGCTGTTTCACGTAGTCGCAGTAGTTCCCCATGTGCACGGATGAGCAAAATCGCTTTGTGCCGATGCCACCTGTTTCCATAAGTGTAACATTAATTATACAATATATATTTGCTCCAAACGATACTAGTTTAATTAGAAAATACTTGACAATTTTCAGAGAAAATTTATCGTATTTTAAGATATGTAATATCAGAGAAGCGCGTGTGTGATGTTAGCGTGATATCTACGACATGCAGAAAGATGCAGAGATACATATTTTTTAATATATTTTGTGCAAAAATTAACATACATTTTTAAAATATTGATTTTCTTCACTTTCTTGGTAAATAAATTAATTTCAAAGGCCAACATATCGATTTTCTTCATTTTCTTAGTAATTAAATTAATTTCAAAGGCCAACAAAACATATTAGAAAACAGAACATATTAGTGAAAGAAAGCCAATTCATGTCAAAACGATCACTTTTCAGAACAGAAAAAAAGTGTATTTTCTTTCTTCTCCTTTTCTCAAATAATATCATAAACTAAGTATCACTGATAAGATTTAATTTTTAATAGAATATATTTCCGATATGAATTTCGCGAATCGCTTGGTACATTTTAATCTCAGAATTTTTTAAATTACATTAAGATGATTAAAAGATTATCCTTGTCCATTTTAATAAATGATCGTTTCCATGTCGAACGACTCAGGAGGGAACACTCATGCACACTCGACGATAGAAACACAATCTTGTTATAAAAACCTCCATAACGGCCGATTGATTTGATGCAATAAACCGCCCCGTACACATGACTACAATTTGTCGGCACCAAGAAATTCTTAACCAATTCGCTATCCATGCATTTCCATTCATCCGCCGATGTGCATTGATAGCAATCCAAGGTCACCGCTTAATTGAAAAAGCAATAATTAAATTTCTAATACTGGCGATTGATGTTACACAAGTTTCCCAATGATATACATTGTAAAACAATAATTTATACAGACTAACTCTTAGATGTATGTCCTTAAAAATGGTCATCTACCGCAATGATGGAAACAGGGTAAATTGATAAATGGTTAGTAAATGAATTGTTTGCAGCACATGAAAGATCATTGGAATGCAATTAGCTTATCTTACTCTTGTAAAATAAAATAATAATCAAATATGTGTATTAAATATATAACATATTACATGATTGAGATTGCTTGTAAATGCATTCCAAGATCTCGAATGTATAAAGATGTTTCAGCATGAAAAAGATCTGGAAAAAATTCGATTCAGTTAAATGTAGAGATGCCGGCATGCCCCAGATTAATCTGTATGATGAAGTATGATTGTTAAAAAAGTTAATCCAGCTTTCCCCGCGTCGCCGCTGTGTTAGTCTCCCAAGCAAAGGCTGTACAAAATGTCTTCGTTGCTGTTTACCCTCGAAACGGCCAATGTGCTTGACGCAATACTGCGCTCCGTAAACATCATCGCACGACGCGGGATGGAGATCCATGTCGCTCGTCAGGAATTCATTACACTGAAACGGGAACTCGCTGCTGGTGCTGTTACATTGGTAACATCGTATGCTGTGTCCTGAATAAGAATATCATTTTGTCAAGCTACATGAAGGAAAGGTGAGACCATCCTATGCGATTTTGTTGTTTATTATCACAAATTGAAAGATCTGTTCCTTGTTGCTGCACTGGACTTTATCAAAACTTTCTTTCTCGTTTTTTTTAAACTTCAAACATATATCTATTTCATTTTAAAGTCTTGTATCTGTGCTAGAGATCGGCCCCAAAATCTCGGAAAAGGAATTAATCAATCACATTGACGAATTGTTTAAATATCTATGATTTGTCAATTCTTTTTCTATCCGAGGCGTCTCGGACCGTTCTAGCGTCATAAATGTGTAAGAATTACTAGTATATACTAATTCAGCTATAAGGAACAAATCTATCTAATAACAGTAGAAATATCACACTCATTCTATTAATACAAACTTCAAAGAAATATTATTAATCTTCTTGGAAGATTTTTTCTCCCCAGCATGAGGCTTTGTATAAAAAAAATTTCTTTTATTCTACATGTGTTATATTTTAATTCTTCTAAATTTCTCGCATTGCGCGTCATGTAAAATTATAGCTTTCTGTCCTGAAATCTGACGTGAAATATAAATCGTTCAAAGCTGCCCCGAGCTGTCTCTTTCTCCCTGAGGAGGAGCTTGGCCGTTTCCTGTCTCACGTAATGCGCGTCGAGAGGTCCCGCGTTCTTCGTAGCCGCGCTTGAAACGAGACAGCTACGAGGAACGAGGAGAAGAGGATGATATATGCCCCGCCCAAGGTGCGTCGTCGCGCACCTTAACCTCACCTGTCTCCACCAGCAACGAGAGTACCGCCAGAAACATGCACGCCGCGACGCAGCGACTCGTGACGGCCATTCCACAGGATTTCAGCCTCGCGCGGTTTCCAGATTGCCTTCTCTAATCCCGATCGTCTCGACCCCGACGGCCTCTCGTCTCTATTTACTCCGTTTCCCCGTCGATCAACGGACAACGATTGATCACAAAAGATGGATATGACGTAATGACGCGCACACCGCCTGTTTTTCACCACCGCTGTGAAATTTGCCGCGAACAGCGACGTGAAGATGTCGCAAAGTTGCGCAGCCCGAACTTAGCCGAAGCGGGAAAAACGAAGCGCGAAATCCCGCGTGAAGGGCCGCGTTTCAAACGTGCGCTCGCGTCAATCGCGGCGCTTGAAACTTGAAAAATTTGCTCGATCTATTAATTATTCGGCTCCGGAGAGAATCACGCATGCGTGGCTTTGCCACGTTTGTTTTCCTCCAGGATATAAATTCGAAATTTAAGATTCAAATATTTAATATTCAGCACTCAAAATAATGCCGCGCTAAGTTGTTTTTTTCGTCGGGATGACAGTTGCAACGATAATCTGCCTGGAATTTATTTCTCTTAAAATTCACCTTTTTTATTAGACAGCCTCTCGCATTGCTATTAATAATTTAATTGCTACGATATTGCAATTTATAAATTGCGAAAACGCATCGTCAAAGTAAAGCGCAGATTTATCTTGGTATGTATATATTATCTTTTATTTTCGCCAATAAATTTTTGCACGTAAATAATATAACAGCTTCTATTTAGTATAATGTATGCGAAGCATTATGTGAGATGATCGAGACACAGGAAAACATAACATTCATATATAGTCACATAACACGGAATACTAATCTAGTACATGTTACCTTTCTACGCAATTATCTTCGAAACTGTTATTCAACAAACGTAAGATTAAACAAAAATATATTTCCTTTTAAAAAGAAACTTCTAACTTCCTCTCCATTAAAAAAAAAAACCTCTAACTACAAAACTTCTTATGAAAAATAACCTCATTTGCTTAACAATTTTCCCGTAAAATATGCTCTTTAAAATACAATAATTTAAGTTAAAAACAAATTTTTGAAACGAGTACTGCTTTCAAAGGTCGACGCAAGTCGATCGCAAGGATCAAAGTTCTATATGTGTATAAATAATAAATAATATATTGGTATATCGAAAAGTAAACGCGTTATTTTACACGCATCTAATATGTCATAATATATATATAATGTATGTGTAGTAACATAATTTAATATATACATTAACTTTATGACTTAATATTTTCGCCTTCGATCGAAGGGGCAAAATTTATCACTTGGTGAAAAATCAGAAATCAGTGTATACGATGACAGAATGCACACGGTATATATCACATATTATCACCATTGTACGACCAAATAATACAAATACAAGTAAGAGATTAAACATTTCGCATATTATACGCAGGATGTATAAAATTTGCCACGTAAATCCTTTTTTATCTATTTTCTATCCTTCTTATTGATTGTATAATTTACCTGACATCCTGTACGCAGAGTGTCCGACGACAGGCGGAAGAAAATTAAAGTGACGATGATAAAATAAGATAAAAATAAAGAACAATTAACAAGTTACAAGTTACAACAAATAAATTGCGATCTTAAAGCTTTACCTTTTAATTATAAATGTTTAAATATTCACGTGCTTTAGGCGCATTCTGTCCTGTATTATATACGAGCGCCTAAAGCACGTGAATATTTCAACATTTTTAATTACAAAACGAAGCATCCAATTTTCTATTGTCATTCTTGATTTCCGTCTTCTATCATCTGGAATCGTCTCTTAAATTTTTCCCTACTTGTTATCGAACATCCTGTATACTGCAATATGCAAAATATCTCTCTTTATCAACATTGACCTCCTGCGGCGTCTCTCGAGTTAGTAATTCGATAGTTTTTTCGTAATTCTAGCTGAGCTTATTTAAGATTTTGCTTCACGCTCTCGTTAAGGACAGGACTCTCCTTAACGGCAGTCTTTTTTACTTCTTTCAGCCTGGAAGACCCATTCGGCTTTACGTGTCTGGCAATCCCGGCCCTGTCGTGCGCACCCTTAACGCTCTGCTTGCCGCAAGTACGCGTTACCTTCGGGGACACTTTCGCGCCGGTTTCCCCCGCGGCGCCGGACGATTCGCCGACCTCGGGCAGGGGCTTGAACGTCCTCGTGAACGAGATGACCTTCAGCCTCTTCGCGCCCTGCCTCACCGCAGCCGTCTCCTCGGAGGGAACGCGCGTCTTCGTCGCCGTTGACTTCTTGTTGTTACTCGCGCTTAAACGCGGTTCGAGAGTGTCGCTGACCGTCGCCGACCCGGCGTTGGATCTGCTCGATCGATAGCGATCGATCGCCTTCAGGAACGGCTTCGCCTCCGTCTCGGACTTGATCGCGCAGATTATCGCGCTGTTCTCCACATTATTGGCGCAGTGATTTTTCAACGCGCGACGCGTCAGCGTCTGCCGGGGTTTCTTGCTGTTCTTGATCCGCTTCACCGCCGTGTAAAAAGAGGCGCCGCGGCGAAGGATACACTTCTTCACCAGGCTACCCTCGCTCCTTATCGCGTTCCTCGCTCCTGTCACCGCGTCGTTCAGTCTCGTTTCCAATTCCTTCAGGATACCGCTGCTCCGCGCGACGGTGTCTTCGTTGTCCTGCAAATGTGGAAAGACACTCAATTGTAGACTGTAGATTTAGAAGATACACAGAAACAGCCACTCTCGATGGTAACACAAAAATAAAGTGTGTGTATGGGTGGGTGTGCGTGTGTGTGTATGTGTGTGTGTGTGAGAGAGAGAGAGAGAGATTGATTTTACTCAGAGATTGATTACTATTGCTGAAAGCGTTTATATATAACGATTATTATATATAATTGTATGCAAATTATGACTTACCCCCTCGCGGCTAAGCACATCGAATATAATATAATAATGTGGCACGTATATCATACACTTTTTAAAAAGACGAAGCGCATCTAACATACATAAAAACTTCTGATAAAATTAGAAAATAAGCAAACGTAACGGATTGCTTAACGCAACTAAAGCCATTTTGCCGATGATACAAATACGTATACGTCAGTGGGGATTAATTATATATTTTTATAAATATATTCGATATTTTAGCGAAAATACTCGTTGATGTTACGCATGCTAGCGTGCTGTGAACATACATTTTTGCGTACAGGATTGCTCATCTACATGTTTCGCTGACGATCAGAACTTGCGGACGACGAGTCTCGACTGCGGAGTCGATTTCTCTCTGCGCTCTACTACACGCAACACTCGATTGCCTAATTTTCACTTGCTTGCAGACACGATTCATGCTAAATTATCTCTCGCATTCGTCGGGATTGATTGGTCAGGAGATGTCCGGGATGTTTCAAATAAAAGTAAGATAAATAAATGTGGTCGCTAAAAAATTGTGACATTTATTAATACAGTTGGGTATGCAAGCTCGTGTGCAATACATATTAAGAAGAGATTTTCTATACATGTATGCGTATAATGTAATACTGTACGAGCTGAACTTTGGGGCGATTTGTTTCGAGTTTGTTGCCGAGATCAGAATTCATTGTTTGACTTGTTTGTGAATATCTACTTCGTCTAATGGAGCATTAATTAAGGTTGCACACATATTACATCCTTCATATATATATAATAATCTTCAACATCGATAAATTTGTAAATATGTTTACATTATCGTTCGATGTATATTAATAATGAAATTTTCCGGAAAATAACAGTCATATACTCCAAATAATTTTTAATTTACGAGATAAACTTTTGTAAACTTCTATATATATATATATATTGTTCAAATGAGTAACATTTAAGTTTGAATTAACAAACTGCCCACATCTCACATCATCCAGAGATATAACGGTTTAACCACTTATATCTCCACGTCGTGCCCTTCGCTAAAGAAATAGATATAATTAATTATGTACAGCCATCTGTATAATATTAACAGTTTTCGTTCATTCAACAATTCACTATCTTTCAAAAAAATGCTGCATAAATTAGATAATGTGATTGTAAGTGCACTTGCGTACATTGTGAAAAATATAGTGCATAAAAATGGATTATTTACAAACAAGTATTATTAAATATCAAATACAACCATATAGAAGCGTTAATGTATATAGATTAATGAACACTTCACTGAGTTAGCCACAATATAAAATAAATCAAGATAATACAAAATATTTGCACTTATATATCTTATTAGAAATCTTTATTTCTTTAATTTACCTATTATTAATTTTAAATTTGTTCTTTAAAAAATTACCAAGCATGGCATATACTGTGTATAAATATTAAATAAGCCATTTATATAATGAAAATATAAAAACGTTTTACCATGTGTATACAATTCAAATTATATATATGTATAAACATTAAATTTTACATTATCTCGTTCTGCGAAAGTAATATATAATTGGAAACACATCTCAATGTGTAACTTTATCTAAAGAAGTATACGAAATATTATTGTCTTGTCTACAAATATATCAAGTTATATATGGAAGACCCAATTAAGAAAAATTATGTAAAAAGAGTTTACAATATTTTTTCTTATAGAACATATAATATCGTTATTGTCGCAAAATATTTCAATTACATATTTTATAAAAAAAACTAAATCCCCGTATAAATTCCAAAATTGAAATATAATTTGATATTCGCATAAATTTGATTTGTAAATATACAAAATCTCTCTCCCACTTTCCTAGTTATGCATAAAATGAATTTATGTTGGATTAGGCACTAATGGGTTGCGGTGTTAATGTCAAACAGCGTATGAAATTAGTCGCCGAACAGAATAAATGATTATGACAACATACACTGCCTTATGTCAGTATTACAAATGTCACTCCCACTATTTACATCGAAATTTACCTTACGCACTGACTTGCCGGGTGATGCAGAGAGATTGCTCACGTACGTTAAATTCAAATGAGATTTTACTCCCCTTAAAGAGCGATACTGGCTATTTGGCAATCGGCTGTTGGGATTGTTCCCATTGAGATCGAGAATGGAAGGTCCTAATGCTGCTCCAACCTATATATTATCAATAACATATATAATATTAGCAATAATTATATATATATATATATAAAAGAAATAGATATAATTAATTATGTACAGTCATTTGTATATGATATTAACAGTTTTCGTTCATTCAACAATTCACTATCTTTCAAAAAGATGCTGCATAAATTAGATAATGTGATTGTAAGTGCACTTGTGTCCTATCTTAAAATTGCCGTGTTACCTGCGTTGAAGCCTCTTTTCCCCAATGTTTAAAAATTCATATTTAAAATAAATCAATATAAAATCTTTGCACTTATATATCTTATTAGCAATCTTCATTTCTTTAATTTATCTATTATTAATTTTAAAATTGTTTTTTAAAAAATTACCAGGCATTCTTTTTCTCTCCAATCTTTTATATATATATTGCTACATAAAAAATTGAAGAGAGAGAGAGAAGATAATTTATATATTTACCGCTTCAAACACTGCTGGCGTATATTTCGGAGGAACGAACACGTGATTCATAGTTTTATTCACCCCGTCGCGAATTCTGGCGGGGATCATATTCACCAAACGGCCGGAGTTGTAGTTGCATTCCAGAGTATAGCTGCGCAACAGACCAGTCATCTTGTACACTGCCACGCGCCCTGAACCTTCTCTGGACATGCCGTCTCGTTTGTCTCTATAAAAGCATATGTCTTTTAAGGCATCCCGAAATTGAATAATACGAAATTGAATATATAACTTCTGTTGGCGTACTTACATGATGTACATATTTCGTTCCGCGAAATTGCACGATGTGAAATGAAAGTGTGGATTGTTAATAGACATCAACTTTGGTAGCAGCATGCATGCGATAGTGTCCTCTGAGTCAGTAAAGTGATTTCCATACATGAAAACGCCCTTCTTCGAGGCATGACCGTGAAGATCAATATACAGATATAATCCAGAATTATCCGAGGATTTTGGTATCTCATCCATACCAACTGCTGTATATGCTTGTTTATCACTCGTTCTGACCTCTGTGACGTTTTCACTTTTATCACCTTCCTTAGATAGACCTTCGCTTTCATCTATGAAACATGAAGAGCAAATTATAGATTAGAAATTATGAGATATATTATCGAGGTTTTATGTAAAATATAACTGAGAGGTTTATATTAAATATTACTAAAGTTTTATATAAATATAAATACCAATAGCTGCATTGTCCAAATCTAACGTCAATAAATGTTTCTCACTACTATCGAGAGCACACCTGTTCTTCTCATCCAACGACATAAATGTTACCTATTAAAAAGTAATGACATTAAAATATTATCACAGTTTGATGCAACGCTGAATACATCAACATTTAATCCTTAAAACTCTTCGTATAATTTGGAATACAAATGTTGTTAGAAGAAATTCTGTAAGCCTTTGTCATACTTGTTGCAAAAGTCTTGTAGTTGTGTCACGTACAGCGTTTGCTATCGAAGCGGTCGAATTTATAATGCTTACATTGCTGTCCATAATTTGTAAGTTTATGTTCGACAGGTCGTCAGTTAGTTCGCTCGGTAGTTGATAAGAATTGTGATAATATCTACAAGAAAAGTATGTATGTACGTAAATTTGGCTGTGCATATATGCATATTATAAAGCAGGTGAAATTATTTAATTAGAAATATAGGTGCTTACTTTATTAAGTTTCTTGCGGCATATATCGTGGGATGATCTACTTCAGAAGGATTCAGATAAACTCGGTTCAGATTCACCCCTTTAGTGTCCATCCGATAATGACCCTTGGCAACACCGTCTGGGTTGAGCATCGGTATCAATTTGAACACATACAGGCGACGTAAATGTATAGCAATCTGATCTTCTCGATTTAGCAAAAAGTTGAGGAAACCGTTCAGAACGAAGCTAGATGGCGTTTCACCTGGATGGACTCTGGCGCTAATAAAAATCACCTAAATACAATATACATATATATATTTTTCTCTTTTAAAGATAAGAATCCATTTTATGTTATGATTTTGTTAGCAAAAGTACCTTCTTGTCATGAAATTTGTAAGGCCTTTCCTCGCTTTTCTCAGGGAACAAATTGCTCAGTCTGTCTTCTCTCTCCATCGATATGTTATGATAAGAACTTATTGTTAATATATCTAATCTACGATCCTCCAGAGATTTTATTGCACACTCCCTATGATAATAGATGTCATCCCTACATATTACACTCCTCTTTTCCATTCTCACGTCGATCCTACTCAAATAATTCTGTAGATCTGTATACGAGAATGGATACGTAAAAGCAAAGTAAGTGATGGCTTTCGAATTTTCCGGAGTGTAATAGAGGAACGATAAGGTAAAGTCGTTCCCTCTCTGATCAAGCTGCAAAATTAAATAGTACTGCTGTATATCCGTCACATACATTTATGTATATTCTTTTTGCTATATTCTTAAATTCCTATCAACTATGCATGCTGCAATTACAGTGTATGTAGGTCTTTCGCGAATCCGCTCCCAGTGCAGGTGACCCGGCACAATCTTGAAGACCGGACACATCCCTTGGCTGAACATCTTGACTTGCTTATTCAAATTGACTATGTTGAATTTGACCGAGACGCTCGGCCGACTAGACTTGACACCAAAGTAAAACCAGGTTCTATTGTTGTTCTGGAATTGCGTGCCGTGACAATCGTGCTTCGTCCACAGATTGAACTCGTAATCCAATGTGTCTTTGGAATTCGAGCTATTCGTCGACTTGCTTTCAGTCTCATAAACATCTAAAAATAGTAAAACCCAATGTTGTGTCGTTACATAAGAAGTACATTAGCAATCATACTGCAATACAATGAGTTTAGATTCGCACGCAAGGTAAGAATGGTCAATTTAATCAATTGGGGGCAGAAAAATAATTCTCTGGTTCAATAACACTTGTATTAACGCTGGAGCTGCCAATGGTGTCATTTTAGCTCCGCTAATCGTTTGAGCTTTTAATTTTTTTGTACAGAATATTAGAAATATGTTAATATAATACAAATAATTTTAATGACAAATAATATGAAAATAACTCTTCACTAGCCGAAAGCAAGAATAAAAAATTATCAAATTGACAATTGTCACTAATACACAAAATGATACACAAAATCTAAATTCGCAAGATGTTCCCGCGACAGGGCCGACAGTTACCTTTCTCGAAGGATTCCGGTATCCTCACTGGTTCCACCCTGGCCAGATTAGCCGAGTCGAAGTTGTTGAAAAACACGAAGCCGCCGCAGGCTATGTTCTCGGCCGTGCTCGCCATGACGCGTCAGACAGTTACGCGTCTACTGCGGAATCGGAGGTCGCGGGGACAGACGTCGACGACGAGGAATCGTTCGTTCATGTGTGCAAACGCAAATCAATCGGACAATCAGACGCGCTTCCTCAGACACGATCGCGCCCGTCCGTTGGCGACGGCATCCCACTCGTTCCCGAAACGGGGCGAAACAGCTCGATCCGACGACTCCCTCGGGCGATCATATGATCTCTATTTACGCCACACACGCATACACACACGCACACGGATGTCGTGCGCAAAGGCCCCCGCAATCCTCAATGCGGTAACGCAGCCGCGGTGACAGTGGCAACGAGAAGATCACTCTCATCCTCGGGCACCGTCGTCAAGTGCAGGTTTCTCTTCCTCGAGGATATACCCGGACAAACTTATACATAGCCATGTGCATAAAGAAAATTACTCGATTGCATGTTTTACATATGTGTCTATAGAAATGCGATTGGATAATTTTCTTCATGAATATAATTATGCAAGCATTGTCTGGACAGGCGCTAATGAATTTCCGATTACCAGGTTCATCCAGTTCACCCTGTCACGAATGAATGAATAAAAATATATATATATAGTCTTAATGCAGCTGCAGTTCACTGCACTAGGCGGTGGTGCGATGACGTGCTCGCGCTCTGCTTATCGATCGTTTTATTCTCGCGTGGATCAATTTGATCGACGAGGGCGTAATCCCGACGTCGCACGTATGTACACAATCCGATCCGATCCGTGCGAGCTGCCGCTGCGTATGCGGGTGCACAGATTTTGCGATATATGTTTCAATTGGGTAGCCGAGTTATTTGGATCTGTCACCTGCGATCAACATCACCGGTGCACTATGTCAGTATTTTGTTCCGAGATGCCGTCAACACCACATCGCGATCGGCAGCCCACGTTTGTTTTGCGTGTCTCAGCATGCAATTTCGATCCTGGCTATGATTTTTATTAAATCTCGATTTTAAACGCCGTGTAAAAACGATCAAGTCGCAGTCGCTTCTCAAACTGAATTGTGTAGACTCGAGAACCTGTCCGAAAGCACCGAAAGCACTTTATTTATTTATATATAGTACAGGAAGGACTCGAAAATAAATATAAAATCTTGTGTAGCGAGTTTTTCTAGTGACAGTCGCTAACCTTCGCTTCACTAATTTCTCTTTTGAGAATTTTGGGATTCTCTAAATAAGTGAAAATCTCAAACTGTCTGCGCAAGAAAACGTCCTTATCAAATGTCGATAATTACCGACATTTTTAATTCCGTTTCCTACATTATCGTTTCATCTCGTAGGGTAACATGGCGTAACACTGCATGCATGCTTAATAGATAATTCATATTTCATAATTCATAATATAGAAGCATGTTTACATGGGCTGATGGGCATATACATTGCATGTAATAGTGGCGAATTATGACAATTAAGGGGGTTGTTACACGAAACTACCCTTCCCGAGTTAAAAGCAGCGACCGTCACCGTCAAAACACTCAAAACAATCGATATCATTTATACATGGCACATTTGGGCTTGTGACACAATTCAAAAGGTTAAGTTTTTCGGAAATAAGGTAAAGCTATTTTTTAATTTGACAAAAAGTTGACTAATATATCGAATATATATATATAACGGCAAAAGGAATTTATTCTTATCATATAATCAAATCATTTTTGTTTCCTTTTTGTTTCACAACCCTTAAAAAAATCACCTTTTTTGTGACAATGATTTTTTAACCTCTTCTAATCTCTTTTTTAAGTATGACGATTTTGACGATTTTTTTAACGAAATTAATTATAATAATTTACTTTTGATGATTGATAATCTTTATTTAACTCATTTATGATAATAATTCAAAAATTACGTTTTTATATAATATCAAAAGCACAATATTAATATTGTGCTTTTAATATCTAAAATAATTAAGTGCAATATTAAATTGGATTTCTATAAGGAAATATTCTACTGCACGTCAGCGGGCATGTCTGTGATTTATATACACCATTTCTATACCATCTCTCTTGAATTTTTATCACACTGATAAAACGTGACTTTGTTATTTCTCAAGAATGTCGCATACTTAATCGGCGCATTTTGTCGCAACGCAGATTTCGATCTGTTCAAAATACTTGTCTGTTCGATAATTACTTCATTGATTAGATAATGAATCGATCTATAAGGAAAAAAATGATTGAAATAGAGGTAGATCATTATTGATGCGCAATATTATATATTATTTTTTTATTTCGCTGAGAACAAATTGAATATATAGATTCGTGAAATAACGATCAATGGCTAAATCACCTGATTTAATAAACGGCTTTTTGAATTCTTATCATTAATTCCCATTTTTCGATTTAATATAATTTACACAAGATATATGTTAATTCCATCCTTGAATCACCAAATCTAAAACTGACGACCTTGCATAAATAAAATCATTATATTAACAAAGAGTGCATATATTAATATCAATTTATTACAAAACCTTGTACAAAATAATGTACATACAAAATAATACGTGACGTATAATAGAACACCACCACCATTATATACATTATATTGACTTTATGGTACATATATTACAATAAACTATTACATTTTCATTTAGTTAACAAGGAAATCCGTAACCAATTTATTAAACTCTTCAGAGTATCTTAAGTGGAGATTATGTGCGCCCTTCTCGAAAATATGCACTCTGTAATATAATAGAAATTAGTGAAATGATATTTATACATTACCTTGGATTTTTTTTCAAGTCTGTTGACGCGTTCGCGCTATCTTTGCGTTATTCTCTTTTTAAATTTAACGAACGATGGAAGTATAACGTAACAGTGCTGAATAATGCTGAGTAATGCTCCCTGAACGCGCCTTGTACACTTAAAAATACAAACCTCGAATCAGCGATATTTTGCTTTAGATACGTCGGATGTTCCGGCAAGACCATCGCGTCTCTTGCTCCATGAATGATTAAAGTCGGACACTTTATCTTCGATAAAACCTGTTTGCACAGGTCGCCGTTCTGCTTTTCGTACAATCTTAGGACAGCGTCTATCCAATTTGACCACGTCTTTCTGAAATAATCCTCACCGTAGACCTGTATCATAGGCGTCCTCATTTTCTCTGACCACTTGTTGATGTCTCTGACACCTGGACAGTAATCATTTCAGGTGTTACGCGTAAAAGAATGAAAGAAATGAAATATTCAATGCGTTTTCGATAACGCGATAACGAATATATCGTTCCTTCTCTTATAGAAATTTAATATTGAAAGGCAAATTAATTACTTATTTTGAATTACTAAATAAATAATTTCTCGTATAAAAATTGTATTTCTGCATGGGCTGCAATTGTAAAGATTAGCTCTCTACTTTAAAAATATTTAGAAACTTACAATTTACGCGAATTCCAATAAATTTACAGACACAATTTCTTTCAGATCCCGATACTTTTTGAAACGAAATTTCGACAAGTTGCATTGTTAGAAAAAACTCTTTTGGCTCTACAACACCGCGCAGGAGTGAAGTCATACTTTCATATATCTTCGTCTCGTCCGGGTGTATGTAGGCGTTCGCGCCGAAGACAACCATCTTGTGGACGTCGTCGGGATACGTCGAGGCAAGTAGAAGCGACGTGATGCCGCCGTCGCTCCAGCCGATCAGTGAGAATTTCGAGTAGCCGAGGGTCCTCATCAGATTGCGGGCGTACACAGCGTCGCGCTGAAAGAAATCGTCCGGGAACGTTCTGTCGGGTGGCCGCGATTTACCGTAACCGGGCGGATCCCATGCCACTATGGTTAGCTTGTCCGCATTCAGATTCTCCATCTGCGGCCGAAAATCGGTCCATATTGTCCCTGAAACATCCCATTTTGCTGAATATCAATTGCCACTCGTCGCGGTAAACATAAATATTTGACAGCACGCTAGCAATTCGTCAGCAAATTCGAGTAGAATATTGATCGGCAGATGGGTGAATTGCGTCTGCATAGGCTTGGGTTCTGCCAGCATAGTTTTCGGACATCTAGAATTTTTTTTTCAAGTGAAAATAGTATCTATATTAATTACGCTAATAATAATTATCTTTAATATTTATATTAATTTAATCAAAATTTTACTAAATTAACATAAACGCTATTTGTGCTAGGAAAAGAAAATTTCAGATGTCATAAAACCTATTAAAAAGATTTGCTTAATTAACAGATTTTGCTTAATGCAATTTAGCCAATGTGAATTGCAGTTTCATTAGAATCGTTACAAATTAATGAATAATTGAATATTAACAACAAAAAAAAGTAATTACATTGCAACAAAGAACGGTAAAAGTGGCGATTACAATTATCTAATGGTAGAAATTTACATTAAAAAATTCGATATCCTTTTTATTTTTAAATCATCAAAATCATAACGAGATGGAAGCAATCTTGCTTTTCATCGAACAGTATAAACACCATATCCAGAGTCCGGTTGCGGTCCGATAAATGGCAGCAAATGCCGATAAAGCGCAAAATTTATCTATATCTTTCAATACGTAAAAACACATTACATAATATTTACCCATGGCCCCAGGCAGCAGCAACACTGAATGGTCACCTGTGCCGACCTTGGCATAATTAATTTCCGTGTCGTCCACTTTGATCTTCCGTTCCTGCCAACAGGTAATGTATTCTGTTTAACGGGAAAAGCGAGAGATGGTCCATGAAAATGGCAGATCGATATGAAAAACGAGCAAGTGGTGACGTACTTCTAAAGTGGTCTACATTTCCATTTTTTTACATTGTTTACATCTGATATACTCACCTCTATCTCACGGGCTCCACTCGTTATAGTTGATAACTGCCGAGTTCGCGCGGCACGGCTGCCGCTGAACTTTACAATTTTACATAACGCACTTGCGAAACGAGTATACATCTTGCGTATGTCGAATATGTTATGTTTACGACCGATTGAAATCTGCGACTGGATCGTGGTGTATACTGTACAGCCGTGGACACATCGGTTGCGATACTTTTTTATAGGTTTCTAATTTGTATTTAATATACATAATATATACTTTATAGATAACTAATAATATTTTGCAAATGCGAACCACGATGTTACTATCTTTAGATACTGTCTAGAGACAGTATAACATCAATCGTGGTCCGCATTTGCAAAATATTAGTGCGTTTTGAAACCTATAAAAAAGAAAGTGTCGCAACCGATGTGTCCACGGCTGTGTCCATGACTGTACGTACAGCAGCGCGCATCGGATCATTACATCAGTTCTTCAATGTAAAATTGCGCACGATGTGTTTTTTACTATAATACATATTGATAATATAATGCATTGACGTACGTATCACTGGGTCGCGTTCGCGAGGTCATAATTCCATCCTTGAACCATCGAATCTAAAACTGACGACCTTGCATAAATAAAATGACTATTAATAAAGAGTGCATATATTAATATCAATTTATTACAAAACCTTGTACAAAATAATGTACATACAAAATAATACGTGATATAATAGAACACCACCATTATATATAATACATCATATTGACTTTATGGTACATATATTACAATAAACTATCACATTTTCGATTGGCTAACAAGGAAATCCGTAACCAAATTATTAAACTCTTCAGAGTATCTTAAGTGGAGATTATGTGCGCCCTTCTCGAAAATATGCACTCTGTAATATAACAGAAATTAGTGAAAAGATATTTATACATTACCTTGGATTTTTTTTCAAGTCTGTTGACGCGTTCGCGCTATCTTTGCGTTA